CAATATGTGACACGAGACAACTGAAAACTCTAAGTGTAGTATTCGGATCCTATCATACAGAGACGCGTTAATAATCTACATCGGATAGTCGACTATCCGCACCGCACGTAAGGGAACATGAATAATGAAGCCTTCAACTGTGATGGGCAACTTGATGATATAGTTGCAGTGCAGGTTGAGCTTACTCGTGTAATAGTTGCTATTGGCTCATGCGAGATTGGTTTTCGAAACTGCTCTATCCTGCTGGGAGACATCTGCTGTAACCATAGAGCATGTCGGGCGAAGCAACCCAATGGAACCGCTAGCCCGTGGGGCGTGCCTGCCTTCCGTTTTAACCTCTCCTTCCAAATTTGATACGTCGTGGAAACTGAAACACGCTTTCCACGGGGAGTGCCTCTGTTTGTAGAAAGCCACTACCCAACTTGGAAGGACATGATGCATTGAGCTTTCAATTTTCCCTTATGACAAGATGAATTCATCAAAAAAAAAAAAGTCCCTCCTTTTCTTTACCTCTCGCTTGTCGAATTTGTTATTCTTAACCCCATCACGATGATAAAGAATCACACGAGCCACAGTTTTTCATTTCTTCGTGGACGATGATTGATGGGAAGTTTCCGCCTTTGCTTTGGGAGCTGCGTGCCAAGACTCTCCGGCTCAACTAGTCACAGCAAGTCTAGGGTCTGATCTCTGTCCGTCATGGTGGAGGTGACACCCTTGTCCCGGTTCCGCTAACGTCGTAGCCGAGGTTGGGTCCAGGGGCAGCACGAGACATGGGTTGACTAAGGAGTTCTAGGGAGTCCAGGGAGTGATGGATGGCAAACTAAGAGCAAAACCGCCGAACGAGGCGTCGAGTAAAAACCGTTAGCAGCCACAAAAACAACTTCAAGTTTCTGACAGGCCCTGTTGATCTATTCCTCTTTGCGATCCCACCCCGATCCTGGTTGACAAAGTTTGGACCGTCCTGTGCCTTGCGGGGAGCATGGACCATCCGTCATGAACCATGGCCTTCGTCTGCTCGTCAACTTCACCTTTGCTCCTGGTCCCGTGTGCCCCAGACCTCTTTGTGCTCCTATCCCATGCTGATATCAACTATTCTGGATGTCTCTAGTCTCTGGGGGCGTGACACCATATCCTTCAGGCGGGGCCACGAGTTCTGACCAGGATTCAGGCCCAGGGCCTGATATCCCATCATGGATTGTCCAGAACAAGGGGTTGATTGAGGCTGCTCTCCAACCACAAACGAAGAAAGCTAGCCGGAGAGCTCACAGCTTGGCGCAGAAGCAATGTCTGGGATCCCTTCCACAGCTAGAACTGTTATATACCATCTGTCCCAAGGAATCCGAAACACTTAAACCGGACCAGTATTCGTTGTACTTCATGCTATACCTTATTGCTCTCATTTCGACGGTAGTGTCATCTCGCCGTGGCAATTAATCTCTGACACCCTCCTACTTCCCATTGTGGCAGTCCGATCTGGTAGCATTGTTTCGACACAATGGCTCATATTGCTAAGTGCCTCGTCGATATCGACACCACCTATATAACCAAGCAAGCGTCGCAGTCACCCAACGACTCGGTATGAACGTTCTCTTTGTGTTTCACTATCTTCTTATTTAACCCGAGCTTACCTATGCTTTCTTTTCAGAAGTTGTCACCATTACCTCCACAGGAGAAGCCATTCACTTGGAGAATGCAACAACCTGATCCGTCGAAGAAGTACCAACTTTTTCCAAAGGAGAGGAAACTGCCAATTCTCAATAGCAGCAAAGCAGTAGACCCGGATAAGGCAACCATGGGACCTTCAATTGCAGCAAGTGATAAGACAGACAACCAGCAGACAACACTCAATGGCTTAAAGAAGCGGTTGAATCAACACAGCCTGGCTCGACGACGCAAAATCAGTGTGCCTGAAGTTGGACCTATGACAACAGTTCAAGAGCTTTCAATGGACTCTCGTAAGTCACGCGCTTGGAATAGATTGCCGGTTTCTATACTAACAACCTTATAGCAACAATTCCTGGTCGCCCACCTTTCCACGAGCGCTCCATAAGCGCACCTGGCAATTCCTCCAGAAACTACCATCTTACCGATACCTTCCTTTTTGCATCGAGCGATGACGAGGGCCCTGATCCTCAGGCTTCGAAGAAGGGTGAGATCGAGGCGGATTCCAGAGGTGCAACTCCAACTTCACCGAGGCACCTGGCCCCTTTGGTCATCCCTAGACGTGGAGGACAGTCGCCTTTACTCCGTCGCCAGCAGTCTTTGAATTGTTTTCCTGCAAAGAACGAGCCTCTCCGACGGGGTCGCGCTTGCGACTCATCTCCCCAGAGTTGCACCTCTTTCACACCGAACTCTTCTATGCCCGATCTTACAACACCAAAGTCCGCATCGACAGGCTCAACAACTCCCATCCCAGTGTCTGCACCACTTATGGAGCCTCAAGCTGAATCCCCTCAGCTTTCTGATGGTCGTTATACCCCTCCCGTTGATCCGATTCGAGCAGGACATCGAAGGGGTGGTTCAGAATCCTCAGTGATGGACAGAGGTCGTCCTAGAAAGAGGCGTGATCAGCGCACCAACAACGGATCGATCATCCAGAGGACAGAATCGAAGAGCAGGCTTACTTCAGAGCAGAAGGCCTTTGAGAAGCTGCCAGTTGGTGTGAAGCATACGGAGGCTTTAGAGAAGCTTGAAATGCCAGAACTTGCGTTGCTCCAGAAGCAAGCCCACGAACAGGTCGGGCGCTTCGAGGTCCTGAGGGCGGAAGACGTTGAGGCGCTCTCAAAGGAACTCCGCCATTTGGACGAGAAGACCGAGTACCTTCGCCGCACTTACACTGCCCTTCGTTCGGGTCGCAAAAATCTCCACTCCCGCATTTGCCAGTACCTGCGCTCGCCTCGCGTGGCCAAATTCAGCAACGAGTCTATGCTGAAGCAGGAAGAGGCACTTACCGAGCTGGATGCCTCCATTGACGACTGGGTGAACAAGCTGGAGCAAGCTGAAAACAGACGCACTCGTGTTCGCCAGAAGTTGCTTGAACACGTTGCTGCAGCTGCTTGTCTCCCTCTTGGCGGACCAAACATGATACGTGAGCCTGTAGTGAGTGGCCCATCCTCATCTGGCATTGGCAATATCTCAACCCCACCTCGGAGCCCTTCGAAAGAGACCTCTATCTCACCTCGTACTGCCAGTTCACCTTCTCCTCAACGTGTTGTGGCTCAAGTTCCCAGCACCATCCTGGAACAGCCTGTGATCGAGGAGGAGGCCACGAAAGAAAGCGCTGAACGAGTGAACAGCACCGGATCTCTCAATCGCTCTGATGTAGAGAGCATTCGCATCTATGCTGGTGACGACGTTTACGCTCTGTTAGCCGATGTTGAGGATGAAATTACCAAGATGGGCAAACAGCCAGTATACGAGCCCGTTCCTCCCAACAATTTGATCGAAACGAAACGCATTGAGCTCAACCGTCAGAGAAGCCACGAGCTACTCAACGGGCTTTCTGGAGAAGCCCACACGATGAAGAAACGGGACTTCTCTGAATGCCGAGCCATTTCTCCTCTTGCATCTCCACCAACCTCATCTGTCACTAAACAAAACGACCAGACGGAAGATGACCTTCCTCTACTGACGAATGTTGTCTATCGACCTTGATCACTTTCCACATATCCTGATATTTACCACAATAGTCCTGCCAAAACTGTATCGCAATTCAACGATTCACGGCCAAACCATTTACAATCCTTTGATACCCCTACGGCATTTTCTACATCTATTTGCATATTTGCGCTACGTCTACTCATGACATTTCACGGCTGCAACAGCATATTATGCATTCATTGTTTTATCATGTACCATCATAGGGCGCAAGCTGGAGGCTTTTGTCACTTTTCACTGTATTCTCTTTCTTTGAACTGCGTTCACTTCTTCATATTGTATCAATGCACGCACTGCTAGTTTGTTGCATATACCACCCTACCATAGTACTAAGCTTAGTGCCTTCCCTTCATAATGATATAATCTTGGCATGTTTTCTGCCAAGCCACTTCCAACGTAACTCCCTATCTTCTCCTCTTTAAAGTCAGGACGGAAGAAGCCCGTGATGTGATCAAAGAGGCATGTAGTATCGAAGCTATTCTTTGTGGGTTTGCGATATAACGGGAGATGTGGGCATAGACAAGGGTATTATGCAACCTTTGGGGGTTGTCCGTACCAAGATGGCAAGGAGATATGGTACGTACTATGCATACACCTTTCATTGCCAAGCAACTTTAGGTTTAAGAAATTGAGCCTGCAGGATCGTCGGCTATAACAAGATGATATGTGATAGTAGTGCAGGCCAAATGTGACAGACTGAAAGCCAAACAAACTATGCATCCTGCAAAAGCAACAAGTTTCCTCGAATCTAACTCATGTTAGAAGCTGGCTGAGATATTAATTGAGAAGACGTATAATGGCCTATAGCAGAACCGATACTCAAGGCCACATTAGTAGATGTGGCACTTCGCATACTCTCGTGATCCAGCTTGCTGCTACCGCCAAACATACCGTTTATGCTTCTATTCCTGTTCTTGTCATCCGTACTCCCCTGTATGCCGTTCATCCCAACCCTGACTTCCCTGCGGGTCTTCCTTTTCTTCTCCACGTGCAAACCAAGTGAACGGTCAATCATCGACAATTATCGTACGATATGATTTATCTCGCCTCTGGTTTATCTGCGATATGCCGAACATCTCCCCCTTTAAGCACGCAGTGGAGAGGCCCAGTCGGAAATTAGTGAAGGACCCTCATCGGAAGACGATCTGCACTGTTCGGAAACAAGGGCTTTACTATGTAAAGCTCATAATGTGGACACTCTCGATGTTGTGATTACACGGAGGTCGAATTATCCGTGGAGTGACTCTTTTTGAGTTTTCTTCGCGGATGCTTCAACGACGGTGAAATGGGGGCTTGACTGAAACGCATGTTGCAGTCTCTTGGCGTTTGGACGCGATGACGCTCGGTTCAAGTCAGTCGAACTTGTTTATAGGTGTTCCATATTAATAACGACTGAGACCATCTAGGTCTTCTCGTCTGCGTATCTATCATTACAAGATGCTCGCCCCTTGTGCAATAACGAAGAGTAATAACCGTCAGTCCCTTTGCTCCATTCCGTTGCCAGTTGTTGTCTCTTCAAAATTCGTACAATCCACCGTGCACTTCGTGAGATGAGCCAGCCCTCGAATGCACCAAACACCATTCATGCTTCCCATCACATTAAATATTACTCGCACCGATTCTCTAGTGCGTCACAATTCGAACAACCTGTAAGATCAGGCCAAAGAGAAGTCCCCTTGCCACTTCTTCAATTTGTAGACAGTCAAAGACTCGGCCGAGTGCTTCGCCTGTCGCCGCCTGGCCCATGACACCCATCAGAGCGGCTGGAAGGCCACTCTGAATAAGCAGTCGGCGGGCTTTGACGCGGAGCTTCTCCTTCTCATCGGCTGTAAGTTCAGCTGGCCAGCCCGCAAGCTCCTGCTCCGTTGGCATCATGTTTTCTCGTATCTTGCGAAGCTGTTCCGCAATGCCTGAATCCGATGTATTGGCGTCAATGACCGATTTCTGAATCAGTGACTGCACAGTCAAGAGAGACGGGTTGCCGGGTCGCAAGAGAAAGGATTTTGCAGCCGTTAAAAGAGTACGTCGGATATTCCACGCTGATGACAGAGTGTACATCTCGTTGATGACAGCGAACAGAAGCTCAACCGCAACACGAGTCTCGGGCTCTGACAGAGGGGTATACTGTTTACCAGGCTTCAAAGATGCCCTCTTGCTGTCAGTCACCGAAGGGGGAGGCGTTGGGATTTGCTGAGAGCCTTTGCGGTCTTGCTGTCCCTTTCCGCTCTGCATATCAACATTGCCTTCAGGCGAACCATAGTCGTCCGCAATCTGATCCGGCGGGGGCGGAAGTTTAGTGAAGTCGAGGCTGGCAGCTGATGGGGATCGCAGCTGAGCAAGGCTAGGTGCACGGCTATGCTCCCGACTAGGAAGAGCACTCGCCGACGCTGAAGCAGATTCTTTACATTCCGAACGGCTCGTGCGAATGTCCGCATCCGACTCGCTTTGTGACTGATAACTAGGACGACGCTCCATGGGAGGCATTTTCCCTGGCTGCAATGATACAATAGACGAGCGCTGGCTGTCCATGCTGTCTCTCGCAGAGCGAACGGGAGATCGTACACCGCTAAGCTGGCTGGGAGGTGTCGAGATCGAAAGTCGGCTAGAGTTAGCCGTCAAATCTACTGACTGGGTAGATTTCCTGCTGAGACCAGAAAATGTGCTGCCAAAAACTCCAGTAACACCACCCACAAGACTCTTGCCACCCTCCATAGCACCCTTAGGACCTGATGTCAGTGCGTCCAACATCCCCTTGCCCATAGTTTCCCAACCAAAGCCTGCTTTGGATTCGCTGTGGGTATGTCCCTTTGACTTTTCGAGGAATCGCTTCATGCCCTCGCTTTCAGCCAAGCTCTGGTACCAACAAGCATCTCGAAGGTACCTCTCCAATTCACCGCGCAGAGATTCGCGAGTGTGAAGCTTCCAATCAGGCAAGTCTTTATGAAGTTCGGTGAAAGCAGTTGCACCAGATATGTTGGCAATCCGTCTGAGGATTTCATGCAAGGTTTCAAAATCAGCATATCTTCGTACTATCATCCACCCAGGATACGCAGTAGCCGACGGCTCAACCTGCACCCAGTAGTCCCAGTTAGGTTTGCTGCGAATTCGGTTTGGTTCGCCAGGGGTATCATCATGAACAGTTATTGTAGCATTGTGAAGGGTTAGTGGAGCTTTCTTAGGGGCATCCTCTTCTCCTTCATCTGCGACTTGTCCTGGTGGTACGATTTGATCGAAGCTGGTGAAGCGAGTGCCGTCGGATCGACGAGGGGACGACTCGGGGCTGGAGGAATCCATTGGCGATCGAGGTGTGATAGGAGTTTGGACTATGTCACTCTTTGATGAGAACCCTTCTGTTGATGTCGCTGATGGTAGGGGCATATCGTGTTTCGTAGCTGCTGAAAGATCTGGCGCGCCAGACAATTTCTTTTCAGTATTGTTTAGATCCATTGCTGAATCATGAAAAGAAACTACCGAAGCGCGTTTCCGGCGTGCTTCTTCTTCAGCAATCATTTCGTTCATGCGTTTCATCTCTTGCATGGCTTCATCCATCTCTTCCTCCGCCTTGCTCAGCTTCTTCTTGTGTCCAAGGGGCTCCTTGCGTCGAGCCCTTTCTGTCTCCAAAGAACTTCGCCCTGGCTTGGCGATCCCAACGTTTCCGACATTTCCATCCAAATCAGCAAAGACGTTAGTCGCCGCTATGCTCGACTCTGGGGCTCGCTGCATGCCAACATCGATAGCCTGATTTAGGTTTGGTTCACCAGCTTCTAACAAGTATACGATCCACCCGTTAATCCAATCGGCTTGACTGCAGGTATGTAGTGTCTTTTCAAGAACCGAGTTCGCGAGGATCTCACGTAAGAAAACCCTGGCAGGGTCGCAGTTATACGAGTTTCGGTCCAGAAAACCAAGAAGGTCCTCAGCCACCATTTTGAATTTTGACGCTTGCTGACGTTGATTCAAAAGATTGGCTAAATGGCAGTCGGGGTTGGATGCCAGATAGTTGTAAACGGCGTCAGCAGCAGTCGTACTGCTATCTGGAGGAAGTTCGGAAAAGGCGGATGCGAGCTCGGACATGAACACGATGATGATGGAGGACGAGTTAGTAAGAAGATCGAGAAATGCATCAGCAGGTCGCTTCCGGCTGAGGTGGCTAGAAACAGAGAGAAGGTAAGATGTGAGCGTCTTGCGACATGCCAAAGGAAATGAGTGATCAGTCGGAACAATCGGATTGTACCACCACTTAACATAGTCCCTAACAACAGCATCGACAAGACCCCCAAGGGCTTCACGAGTCTCTGGCCGGAACTCGTCAAAGTTCTTCAAAGCAGGCTCCTCATCATCGCTGCTGTCTTCGCGTTTCTCTCCTGCCCGGTTGTTCTTGACCTCTAGAAGACGATCTACAACGTCGATCCCTCGCTCTCCTCGCACAGCTTTAGCGAGCTCTGGGTTGCGCGCTTCCCACGAGATGAATCCGGCTACTCCGCCAAAAGCGCCGATTAGAACGAGACCCAAACGTCCCATAGTGAAGTATGTGAAGGCAGCGAAACCAACTGCGACGCCGGCGAGTGACTCTGGAGTCGCTGTAGCAAAAAAGTGGATGACTTTTGCAATTGGAGTACCATCTTCAGTTGCAGTTCTTGTATTAATCGTTTCGGTTTTCGTAGTATTCGTAATGGGGCTGTGAGAGGTCATTGCGTCGTTTGTTGTAGTCATCTTGTTAGCAAGATCATTTGCATCCGATGGCTTGTCTATTAACAGCGGCTTGTCGTCGTCTTGTGTCTGTGAAAGTGTAGGCAATGGAGAGCCATTGAGTGCTATAGCCTTCGGCTTTGGCGGGTTCGTAAGGGAAGCGCCTGGCTGAGGCGCATTCTGGTTGGGGAATGCGGTTGGACTCATGGGGAATGGAAGGTTGTCTAGGATTGTTTCGGTACACAACCCAAATGTTGTAGCTCTCCCTAACGAACGAAGACACTGGAACCGAAGGCAACTCGCGTAAGCATAGCCAGTTGAAATAGAGAGTAGAGTGAGGAACGAGAAGAAAAGTGAAACCGAGAGCAAAAGGAGAAAACAGTAGACTAGATAAAGTAGGGAATGAAATGAAGAAATCGTGCGAGGTTTGAAATTTGTCTGGAACGCTGGGGGTAATGGATGTGGCCGAATTGCAGCAGGTACAGTGTAATAGCTGGTGTCGCGTGTCTAAGGTGCCAGGTGGGCGTTTTTAGCCTCAAATTGCCGAGCATTGGAATTGCTTGTCTTCAAAACTTCAGGGTCATGGCCCCTAAACCCCAGGGTAGGGCTGCAACCAAGTACTGAAGAGAAAGCTTGATAAAATAGCTCGTGAGAGGGCATGCTGATTTCATCCTAACTCTGTTCGAATATTTCTATCACCCAAAATCGAGGTATCAAGTTCATGCTGGTGCTGTCCGTGTCACAAAATAGTGGGCTTCAACTGCCATCGTGCACTAAAAACGGCAACAAAGTCTAATGCTGCCCCTGATTTAACCCCACTGTAGAGTTACGGCGTCCAATCTTTGTTGTGTGATGTCTTGTTTCGTTTGATTAACCTTGCCAGGTTTATGTACCCTAGGCCGCCTTGACGTGATCGGTCGATCTTTAATTTACTTGATGTAAGATGGTGAATATTCAAGTGAATACCTATTTGAGGTGACACGAGAGCATAGTCCGGAACCTAAACGCCAATATCCAAGGTATATATCGAGCTGGAATGAGAAATTCATAAATTTTAGCAGTTGAGTTTCTGGTAGATAGGTTCACATTCGACTCACATTCATTGGCTGCATCATACAATAACTTGGTTTTGGTTTCTAGGTGGATCCAATTTTAAGGTAGCACGTGCATTGGTGTCACATCAATCATGCGCGCGTAGCTTCCAATCGCGTCTCCTGAGAGGCCAATCTGATTCGAGGCCAACTTTCAAGTCAAAAGTCATCTCGACAAGACATCTCAAATCACCTTTCAACAAACTAGCATTCGAAGGTCTGAGCATTCCGTCTAGCTCTTGAAAGAGGGTTTCACGATTCTCATAATGGCCCGTACATTTGCTACCAAAAAGCGCGCTGCCGATTCTGATAGTGAGCCAGAGACTGTTTCCAAAAGAGTCAAGAGTGGAACATCACTTGAGGCGGATGGCAAAGATGATGATGGAAATCCATACTGGGAGGTGCGCGACTTCGAAGAATCTATCGTTGGGCTTGGGCGCTAACATGACGTGTCCAGCTCTCAAACAAGCGCCGTGTTGGTGTATCAGACTTCAGCAAGAAAACCTTTGTCAATATTCGAGAGTATTACGACAAGGATGGCAAGACCTTACCTGGCAAGAAGGTACTTGCGAAAGCTTCATTTCTCTTGAACGTCTCACTGACTAGTCAAATAGGGTATTTCGCTTTCCATCGAGCAGTACAATGCCTTTCTGAAGGCTGTTCCACAGATCAATGCTGCTCTTCGCGCCAAGGGTCTCGTCGTTGAGGGCGACGTTGCAGACGAGCCTGATACTGCTTTGATTCCAGCTGCCAAGGCTAAGAAAGAGCGAAAGAAGTCACCGAAGGCGAACATTGAGACCACCAGCGAGGAAGAGGACTAGAGCGATGTTTCTGATTTGTTCTTCTCTAATTTTCTTTCGAACATCTTTTCGCCCATGAGCTGGGTTTGTGTTAGCACTATGTATACCACGCATGGAGTTTTTGGAGTCACGGGTGTCACGCGCTTGGGACCCAAAATGTGATTTGTGAATGGGATCACCTACTGGCTCTATGTCAGAATGATAGATTTCAGAAAGTGATAACAATATAATCAACTTATCGTCTCTGACATAAACCTTAATCCAGGATGGACCCAACAGTGTAGCCATATCAGATCTTTTACGAAAAATATTATGTAAATAAGTTAATTCAAGTTATCATATATAGCATAGCCAAAGGTTTGGACCCCCGGAATGCAGCAGATAGACTCTCTTGGAATATATTAAACCAAGAATTGCATTGATGGTAAGAGGCCTTATTTTGAAGGCCAAGCCATGGGTTCGTAGGGGGATTTATCTGCAACAAGGGTATTGGCGATATGAAACATGGCTCAGGGAATCAACAAGCAAAGGTTCGATAAATAACTTACTGGGAACATCTTATTTGTTAAATGGGAATGTGCGCCACACCGGTTTATCGCTCAGGCGTTGAACTATCGCAATGATATGGGATGGCGCAGCTTAAGCAACTATTGTCCTATTCCAAGTTGTACCCCTTTGGCTTTGTCATTCTGAGATAAGGAGATCTCTATTATCATTCCATTACAGGGGGCACTGTCGGGAGGACATCCGAGGCTAATGAATGAGAGCTGCTTCTAGAACTTCGACGCGATCGAGGATAGAATTAAAGCCCAACAAGACCCGAATACGGCTGGTAAATAGGGTCAATATGCGGATGGTTTCTTGAGATGATAATTCTTATGTGCACGGTAGAACAATGCCGCACAAACCCCATGCTCATCTTGGTTTCAAATCTTGAAAGGGGCGGGTCGACGCGCAAGCCTTATTCCCGACAAGCTAGCTTGGCCTCGATCAGAACTTACAATCCAAAGTTTAGCAGCAAACATTCACCTATCAAAGCTCTCATTCCAATTGAAGGTCAAAAGTCTGGAACAATTCCACTGCTGTGATTAGGAGAAAGTATCAGGCTTGTTGAACTCGATTTTGAAAATGACTGCGCCCCGCTCACTCAGCGCTTCGACTGAACATCATGAAGTTGATCAGCAACTTTGGGACATGGCAATGTCGGCTGCGGCCTGGCAATGGTGATCTAGTAGCCAGCCACTCTACTCAGACTATCACTATTGGTCTCTGTGAGCGTTCACTTGCATGGCAGCTCTTATCAGGAGCTAAAGAACCCAGAGAGACGTACTAAGTTGCTGCTTCACGAAGAGTTATCCTAGCAAAGGGCCCAATGCCATGTTTTCTGGGAATGCCTTATTGTCAGGAACATAACCATCGATATACAAGATCATAAGCGGTAACAGGCCTAAAATGCCAAGCCCCCATAGAACGGGAGATGGATGGGCCATGATGCTGATGGATGCCCGGCTTTGGCGCCTCTCAAGCCCCTGGACCCAGCAAAAATTGGACCTACGGCCTCCTATTTTGGGCTACCATATTATTACTGGTTCTATCCACCTTGACTTCTGACTTGTCCTCTCATCTCCAAGACTGTGCCTTGTTTCACCCTCTCATCAACTGTACAATTGAGTCCCTTGTTTTCTTTTGTTGATTCTTACAGTACTCATACTCTCGTCACTCTTTGTCCTATTCATTCTACGCGCAGTTTCTTTTACAGCTTTCTTGCGGCTCCCAACAAGACTATCGGAACGCACGATCGGCTCTTCCGTTTAGTGACGCAGCTCAACAACAAACCACTATAATACTTCCCGTTCAAGCTCTTTTTATCAGTCATCAAACCACGGGTTTATCTCATCTTTCAAAACCAAATTGTCTCTCGTGTGTGAGCGGCAGAATCACGTGCATCTGAAAATATCTAATCTTTGTTTGATGTTTGTGTTACTAAAGTTATAATCATCTTTTTTAAAGTACCAGCCTCTGAAATGCGCATTTCATGGCGACTCGGCTCCGGGTACGTCGAGTCGGTGGATGACTACATCGGCGTGTTGGTGCCTTTGGAGGAAGCTCATCTTTACAGCCAAGCGGCTAAAGCGAAGGACGCAGGCCATGGGGAAATGCGGGAAGAGGGTGAGATGGATGATCTGGAGATGAAAGAAGAACGCGAGGGCATGCTTGGAGGTGATGCTGCTGAGTATACAGTTGATGGTCTACGCAAAGAAATGAGAGAAGGGCGACGAGGGCAATGGACGACATATGAGAGTGAGTGCAGCATTTAAAGACTGCTGCATTATAAGCTAACGAGGTTTCAGTCAAATCAAAGCTCATGAACAAGGCAATCGGAGATATCGGCATGGGCAGTTACAACTGGCAGCTATTCGTTCTCTGTGGATGTGGATGGTTCGCCGACAACCTTTGGATGCAGGGAGTGTCACTCTGCCTCCCATCTCTATCAGGAGAATTTGGTGTGGATGAAAAGACAGTTCGATACACCACCAGCGCCCTGTTCGTCGGTCTATCGATTGGTAGTTTCTTCTGGGGTATTGGCTCTGATTTCCTCGGTCGCCGCATTGCCTTCAACACTACTCTGCTTATAACCAGTGTCTTCGGCATCATGTCCGCTTATGCCCAAAGCTGGGGCAGTGTTTGCTTCTTCTTTGGTGCCCTGGGTTTCGGCGTTGGCGGCAACCTTCCTGTTGATGGTGCTCTCTTCCTGGAGTTTCTCCCTGATGCTTCCAGCGCTCTGCTCACTCTGCTGTCCGTCTGGTGGCCCTTTGGACAGCTTGTCTCATCTCTGATTGCATGGTACTGTATCGGCAACTGGCCAGTTGAACAGGGTTGGCGATACTTCATTGTCACTATCGGCATTGTCACTTTCGCCATGTTTGTTGTCCGATTCTTCGTCTTCCACCTCTTCGAGTCACCCAAGTTCCTTCTCAACAAGGGTCGTCAACATGAGGCAGTGGCTGTCATTCACGGTCTGGCATACCGTAATGGTACCAAAACTTGGCTTACCTCGGAGCTCCTCGACATGGTTGCTTGTGAGGATGGCGAGGATCTAGCCCATGTTGCAGAGAAAAGGATTCCTGCTCCATCGACCATGGGTTTCCTCCGCGAGAAGCTCCAGTCATTCTCTGGAGAGCGTCTGCGACCTCTATTCCAGAATAAGACCCTCGGCATGGCAACTTCTTTGATCTGGTTCTGCTGGGCCACAATTGGCATGGGGTATCCCCTTTTCAATGCCTTCCTTCCTCAATACTTTGCTCGTGCGCACAACGAAGCGTCAGATAACATGCAATCCGAAACAGACACCATCTCGTCAGACACATACCGTAACTACGCCATCGCCTCTGTCATGGGTGTTCCTGGTTCTCTTCTCGCAGCATACCTTGTTGATCACCCATCCCCCTTCCTCGGTCGTCGAGGAACGCTTGCTAGTTCCACGCTCCTTTCCGCGGTGTTCCTTTTCCTCTTTGTCTTCTACGGCACTACATCAACTGCCCAACTTCTCATGTCTTGTGTTGAGGCTTTCGCCCAAAACATCATGTACGGTGTTCTGTACGCCTTCACCCCTGAGATTTTCCCTGCTCCTGTTCGCGGTGCTGGTACCGGCGTGGCCAGCTTCCTGAACCGCATTACTGGCCTTATGGCACCCATCATTGCTGCTACCGTTCCTGGTGATGGTGCTACCACTCCTATTATCATGTCTGCAGTCCTTATCTTGTCGGCTTTTATTGGCATTTGCCTCATCCCAATCGAGACAAGAGGCGCTTCACGACTTTGAGCCCTCAACTTTCACTTAATTGCGGTCCCGCAAGAGTATTAGGCACCGCATAACCTTTCTAGTTACAACACACGCATACTAACGACCTGGAGTCAAAGAGTGGTCTTGGGTATGGCTTGCATTTCTGATGTCATTTACAACGGGGTTTGGCAGTGGTTTGTATTTGGTGCTATTCATAAAGTTGCCTGTTTAGAGCAAAGTTTAAATCTTCTCTATTAAAAATGTACAACATATATTGATAAAGTTTGCCTATCTGTTACCTTTTGCACCTGCTGGTGCATCAACTCGCCTCTTCCTCAGTGACGTTCCCATGGCATCTCTGACCATAGGGTCTGCTCTAATAGTATTCTGTACAAGCCACTCCCTCATCTTGCCCTGTAGATTGGACGTTGCCTCAGCGTCACCCTTAAAGGGCGCCATTTCCATATCCAACAGTCGTACAGCGTCTCCGTCAAGTTGCTTCGTCAACATTTCAAGGCGATGTAGGCTTTGTCTCAGAGCCTTTTCGTCGTCCTCCTCAGACTTTTCTGGGCCCGTGATCATAAACGCAATGAGAGGTCCTATCTGGTTGAGAGCAATGTAGAAAGTGATCGTCAGTCTCCGGGCGAGAGAGATGATCTGGAAAGGTAGATATGGTGGCAAAGATGTAAATCGGGTGAGGATGGCGTTGATGGCGTTGACAAAAGGTGGGAAGTCGGGACGTGTTACGGCATGGAGCTCGAATACGCAAAGGGCGATCAGAACTAGCCACCGGTAGTATTTACCAAACTCCATATAGCCAAATAACCCAAGAATGTAAATTGATGCGGCAGCAACAACATAGTGAGGCAGGATGCCTGAGACGACGCCACGAGTAACATAGTCTCTGATAGTAACGCATTTTTGCCAGCGTGCAATCTCAGGTCCAAAGCGTTCATATGCAAATCTCTTCGCAGTATCCTGTAGCGTATCACTAGCAACCTTTAGGTGCATGAAAAAGGCGGCAGAATCACCGGCGTCCTTGCCTGCTTTGTCTGGGTGGTGCATGGCAGCCAAGCGGCGGAAGCGCGTCTTGATCTCGCGATCGGCAGCGTCGAGTGGCACTCCAAGATCTGCATAGTATGAGGATATACGGCGCTGTTCATAGTCCGCTTCGAAGATTGTGTAGCAGAGGTAGGCAGCGACAACGAGGATATGAATGGTGCGTCGATGCGAGTTATAGCGGGCAGAGCCAGGGGCAGGCTTGGGGTCGCCGGCGCGAATGGTAAAACCGTAGTAGATGGACTGAAGCCATCCTGTTGCAAGCTATGAGGTGGTTAGCAGGTCAAGCAAGTTCCTTAGAACGGATCTCATACATTTGGGAGAAAGGCCCAACCTAGCATAGACAAATAGCCAGACATGGTGGGCAGCGGATCATTGGTAAATGTTTAGTGAGTTTTGGGATTATATGTGAAAGTGTCAAAGGACAAGAATATTTTTGTCATAAAAACAAGTTGAGAATACCTGTGCAAGTTGGTATTTGATGTGGCCAGGTTGTACCATAGTAAGGAAGTTGCAAAGGATCGCGCTGGCAATTGTTAGTTGGTGTTTCGAGCTCCAGTGCGTCAGAGTGGGTCTAGAGTCTTACAAGCCGAAGCCATTTCTTTGTCATTGCTCCCATGACTCCCCTCTTCAGCTTCAATTATTCATACTACTTTCGCTGATATAGCACCGAATCGTGTATTAATTGTTGAATACTTTACTTTTATGCTCACTCCATGCATAACAACCGCCACAATCAATTGGAAGCCCTTGGCTTCGACGTTGGTCCCGGTTTCAGCGTCTACGATGCAGAGCAAATCATCTCTCTTGAGTAAACCTCAAACCATCACTTCCTACCATTCACACCATTAGATGTTATCGACACTTCATGATCTGCTCTTTGCATGGATCTCCAAAAGAACGCTATGTGGCTGATGAGAGCTATGCGACTGGGATTCTGAGCCAACCATCTCATCGTTCCATTCTACCAGCCCTTACAATGAGTGGATGCATAAAGAAAGTGCCGAAAATAGATGTTGTGACCGTCGAACTATTGATCATATTATTCAACTTGTGGTAATATCTCTTGACATGATTCGTGGCTGCAAAGGCTTGAAACAACTTGCTGGCAGTCAGCATGAGTGTGGCAATTTAAAGTTGAAGATACTGTTATATTGCCTTGAGTTTTCTCAGGTGGCTTTGTTATCACTCGCGGTCTCCCCAGACACTCTCTTTCTGTTTTCTCGCCATGCGACTTTTAAGGATATCGCTGTTTTCTACGGCAGTTTTGGCAGCATGCAATGGTCATGATGAACTTTGCAAGCGCAAATATTCGGACATCACTTTCGTTGGCACACACAACAGCGCTTTTGTTGGAGAACTTCCAGTTCACAACCAATATATCTCGGTCGCAGAACAACTCGATTTAGGCGTACGATTCTTACAGGCTCAGACACAAGACAAGGATGGCAATATACAAACGTGCCATACTTACTGCTGGGAAGTGGATGCTGGGCCATTGCAGAGCTATCTGAAAGAGGTATCAGAATGGATGGGAAAGAACCCAGATGAGGATGTGACGATTCTGCTGACGAACATCGATGCCCTACCAATCGAAAAGTTCGACGACGCTTTCAATAGTACAGGGTTGAAGGACATTGCATTTCGACCCAAGAAGAAGCTCTCCCGAGATGAGTGGCCAACTCTCCAAAAGCTTCTTGACGATGGAACTCGACTTGTTGTATTTATGGGTATGCTTTTGTTGTGTGTATTCGTTTCTTGAGTTTACTGACTCTCCTCAGATTACAACATGGACGAGAGCAAAGTCGACTACATAATTGATGAGTTTGACTATTTTTGGGAGACGCCATTCGGTGAAACTGACTCCTCGTTTCCAACCTGCGAGGTGGATCAACCCGAGAAGGGGGATCCAATTCAACTCATGGGAATCATGAATCATATGTTGAACGACGAGGTCCTGGGCATTGTAATCCCAAATCAAGTCGATGCAAAGACGAATTCAGAGGATTCTATCCAGAAACAGGTAGACCTTTGCGAGGGCAACTGGGGCAGGAGACCGAATGTGGTTCTTGTAAGTGGCTCATAAACTCCATGAAAGGTTTTATTCAACTGACTGCCCCAGTTGGATTGGGTTAACGTTGGAGAGGCAATGGTCGTCCAAATATCTCTAAATGGTTTGTGAGGATTGGACATTTACAAATCTCGCATACGAAGGTCACACCAACAGTTATTCACATAGGCACTTTCCAGTAAATCCACCGAACTACCCACAGATGCATATAACCCATTTTCACTCAACACCATCCAACGACCACAGCAGGACGAGTTACTTGGCCACTAGCGTAATTGGTTTAGTGGCAAAATTTCCCGTTGCCATTCGAGCAGCGTCGGGTTTTTGCATATCTAGAATAATTCCATTCAGTTGAGGTCGTCATATCGTGGTTGTTTTTGGCATGGTGTTGTTGTGTTGTTGATCGAGGGTGTGAGGCGGTATGTAAAAACTTGTCGTTGATTGGTAGCTCGTTAGGTACCTTAGTTGTGAATAGCGGGACGACCCAGGGGTGATGTACCTGGCTAGCGCAGGGGTCATCCCCTGAACAAACTCTATTGCATCCATTGGACCAGTACCGTTGTTAGGTAGTCAACGGCTGGATGCCTCATTGTGTTTACTTGGCCCGCAAAAACAAAGAAAGATGTAATGAATACCCCAGAATACGAGTCTGGAGGCTTTTCTCTTGCCTCCGTGCTGACACCGGCATGATCTGAGGAAAAGCCACGCGATCAGTGATAATGTATCGCACAGGACTAAGACAAGACATGCCAAAGCCCTCGTCAAAGAACCCCTTTTCACAGAACGGAATGCGGAATCTGAATCACTTGGGCTTTTGCTTGTGATGTAGATGAGTATCTTGGCCAGGCCTATGTAGACTACAGCCTAGACAAGATGGAACAGACTTAACTTTCCTGATCGAGCCTGCAATATCACATCCATTCTTCATCTACCTATTGGGGTAACCCATTTGCCGTCCCCTCTACGGTCTACACCTCATCTTAGTGGCGCGCCTCCTTTTCCGGCTATGTCTCCCTGATCTTCCTACCAGCCTTAGCAAATACTCAATTTAGCATCCAATTTGTGATTTCATTTGGTATCTTTGGCTTTCTTTCTCCCTCTTCACCTTCATTTGTTTTCTCTCCCCCATCATTCTATATCTCCCCCACATCTTCAGACCCATACAATGTTGCTTCGCAAGCTCGGGCATGCCCTGGCTGCGACAGCAGGTAGGTTTGCCCTCTCTTCTGGAAGAGAACTTTTTCTCTTTCGTTATTGCTGCTGACAATCTTCTTTCGCAGCCCTGTTTCCAGTCACTTTTGCCAAAGACAAAGATGAAGGCGGCCAATCCACCTTTGTTTCCCCAGATGGAGACGTAGCCTTTGCGATTGATATTGGCGAGAACACCAACACCGAAGTCTACTTTAGTCTCCGCGTCAAGAAGAATCGATCATGGGGCGCTGTTGGCCTTGGAAGCGAGGATATGCCCGGAGCCCTATTCCTCATGTTATACAAGAGCCGAACCACCAACAATGTTACATTCTCCCCGCGACTCGCCTACGGCCATTACGAGCCCTATTATTGGGATGAGATGGATTACGAAATTCTTAATACCACAGGTATTATCGACGATCACATGGTAGCCACAATTCGCTGCAAGAGTGGATGTCGTAGTTGGCCATCGCATGGTGGACAGAAGGGGTACCTCGATGTATACGATCACAACAGCAAGGCCGTATTCGCTTTTGGACCAAAGGAGGACTACTACAGTGACGATACGGACGCACCTTTGAAGTATCATGCAGGATACGGCACTTTCTCACTCGACATCAAACGAACACACGGAAAATCCGAGCTACCATCTCTTAGCGATTCAACAAAAGATGTTGGATCCGAGCTTATTTACGCGACGAAGGCCAAGCCAAACTGGGCATCACCGCTTCACGGAGTCTTTATGGTCTTATCAATCATATTCCTTATGCCAGTTGGCGTTGTTCTGCTGAGGTCTGGAGGCTGGGTCAAGTGGCATGCTCTGAACCAGTCCATTGCGACTCTTGGTGTTTTTGCGGGGTTTGGTATTGGTATTGCGAACAGTTTCTATTATCAAAGAGTAAGTCCATCCTGATGGATCTGGACCTGTCACTTACGAATATCACAGTCTCGAAGTTTTGATGATCCTCACCAAATTATTGGATTCGTCGTCACGGGCTTATTGCTTGGGCAATTTGGATTGGGAGTAATGCACCATACTCAATACAGGAGAACACAGGCCCCGACCAAGTATGGCAAGTTTCATCTTTGGGTTGGCCGTATTATTCTATTCCTAGGCACTTTGAACGCATTCCTGTAAGTTGTCACATTCATACATTTGTTGCCCAGTGCTAACCTTCATCAGCGGCTTCACTTTTGCTCTGAACCGAAAATTTGGCATGCTCCTCGCTCTTCTCATCATCTTCATCTGCATAAGCAGCCTCATCTTGATATATGGCCGCCGATACATGGACAAGCGCCGTCTTGGTCCTCGTGGCCCGGGTCTCGCCGGCCCTCAGCAATACAGTGCACCGCCATGGCGAGAGCCTCCTCCCCAACACATGGGCTATCCATCCGATCCTCCGCCAGGCTATCAACCGCCATCAAACCAGGCTGGGCTTGGCCAAATGTCACCTGCATTGCGATCGCCATCCCCGTGGCAATCAAATGACAAGGATGACGATGCAGATTTGAATCTGGGACGTGAGCAGCGACCGAGGGAGTTTTGATGAACAGTTTGAGTTTGGGTACTGGAGTTGGTGTTTATGTTAGCTTTCAGGCAATAAAGAGAATATGTGTGATCGAAATGTTGGTAGTAAAGAGTGAGACCGTGACCTGTTGTCTATGTCGGCCTGACCTGAAACCATGGGATATAAACGACACATTGCTTCAAGGTCAAGTGGGATTAAACAGCAACGGATTTACCAACTCGGTCTAATACAAAGTTTTCGCCCAAGAATGTAAGCAAGGTCAATCAGTAACTTAAATTCGTACTGTACGTAGTTGAATGGCCTCGATGTGAGTTTTATAAAAGGACCACAGTTGTTTATCCTCGGAATCTTCACTATGTACGGAGGTTTAGGGTAGCTTGGAAGTTATTTGTAGCACTTGCAGTAATGGTACATCAAGCTTCATTTCTTGAGGGGAACCCAGTAGTTACTTTTCAAAGAAGTGGTGTCTTTCGTCACACTTGGAGTGGGTGCGTTGCGTTGTGCTGTAGTTGGGCTGATGCATTACCGACCTCGGATCGCGATGCCGTACCTCAACTCATCTTCGTCTGAAAATTAACTCAACGACAGCAAACAGTTCCCTCTCCCAACATCAAGTCACAATAACACTCCTCAAACGGCAACCATGTCAGTCAAAGTCAACGTCGAAAACTTGAGTCTTCGGATTAGGGCCACTCCCCTGACACAAGAGGAATTCGCACCATTTGGAGATGTTGTCTCCAACCCACGACCAAGTCTTCTTCCATCAAAACACGCATCTGAAGGTGGTTCACTCCCGTACAACGGCACCACTGCCAATCAAGGAACAGCAATTCGCTATGCCGATGTCAGCAAGCCTCAGGATCTCCTCTCACAGGCTCCTAGCAGCAATAGCCGATTGATCATGAGCCAATTCGTCTGCGAAGCGAGAACTTTGGCACCTGCAAGCGATGATGCTTCACAGAACGAGTTTGCCGTCAACATTCTTGAACGACACCCATTCACTTCTCAAACTTTTGCTCCCTTGGCCTCTACCGCTTCAAGCTACTTGATCATCGTGGCCCCATCGCTGCCCCCATCTCCCCAAGATGATGGTCTACCTGTACCAAGTGGAGAGGGTCTACCCGGTAGAGGTCTCCCTGATCTGAAGGGGTTGCGTGCGTTTGTAGCAACAGACCGCCAAGCTGTGACTTATGCGGCTGGGACATGGCACGCTCCAATGGTAGCTCTCGGTAAGAAGGAGACAACGTTGGATTTCCTGGTTATTCAGTTCTCCTCTGGGGTTGATATCCAAGACTGTCAGATCGTCACATTCGAGGGGCAAGACTCCAAGGAACCTGACATTAAAGTGCGCGTCCCGCGAGGCGGAAGAGTTACCGCCAGACTGTAGCCAGACCAAGACACGCGATATTTGAGGATCACACAATGCGTAACCAGACGGTGGCTGAGTACAAATAGTTGGGCATGCAATTTAAAATATATGCTTCGTTTACTCGAGGACTACATGTTACGATATTAAAACCCTAGGCTTTACCGTTTCAGCTAATCTTGAATTGAACAAGCTCAGGTTGGCCAATATAATGACAGCAATAATACGAAAATGACAAGAATAGTTCTCATATCCATAGACAACACCACGTTGCCAAAAGCTTAGTCATCGTGCATTCCTATCATAAGGCGAGGACTTTTAAACTGTTCTTATAACTAGTCAGGGCCATTCGTCAATCAATCTATCGTCTTTGTAGAATCTGGGGGGAACATTGCAAATCAGTTGACAGTTGCAACAAGCTGTGTTGTATCCTGAGCCAAAATGGTAGCCCGATTTGAAGCTGCCGAGGCTCGCAACAAGCTGGAGGATCTCTCTGGAATCCAACTTGAGCCAGGCGAGAACCCATACAACGCCCTCATCAAGGCCTGCAACAACGAACCTGTAAGTGGCTTTTTATTCGAACTTGCTGTTCCCAAGCTCACGATGTCAGGCTGAGATCCAAACTTTGTACTCTGTCCATCGGACAAAGAGAAATGGCCAACAGGTGGAGAAGTTTTTGTCCTCTGACTTCAAGGAACTGGTCATTGACCAGACACTCCTGCGGCTTGAAGACCCGACTGTGGAGCCGGGCTTCCGTGACAATAGGAACTGTTTGGTCATCTGGGCCAGACCCCCAGACCACGTTATCCGATTAGCCTCCAAGGTCAATGAGTTACTCAAGAAGGCCGCACCTAGTGAGGGGATTCAATTCTAGAGTCAAACAACAGATGCTAACAATTAAAAAGGCGTCTGGCTTATGCCCTCGCATAGGATGCATCTGACAACCCTCGAGGTTGCATTCTCCAAAACACCCCAGGAGATTGCTGCTTTCGTATCGACTCTGAGGCCAGCTATCCCTGACATTGTGAACTACCCATATCATCACAGGTCTCGCCTTGTTAAGCCTATGGTTTCTTATGATTTGTCTGCTTTTGCCCTCTCGTTCCTCCCTGCGTCAGGTGAAGCAACACTCTCCCCTCCTCTCACCGAACCTGTTGTCACAGAGGGGGTCATACAGGGAGACGACTACACATATCATCATCTACGTCGCGATGTGTACGACAAGGTGCAGGAGAGTGGTGTGGTTGTTGGATCAAGATATCAAGTCCCCAGTGCACACATCACGCTTGGACGCTATCTGAACCACGATGACCATGACACGCCAGAGAAGAGGGCAGCCTGGGTTCAGGCTATTGATGAGGTCAATGCATGGCTAGAGAAGGAGGTCTGGGATAATCCAGACTCCGAGTATAATGCCGGCGAGTGGCTAATCGGTCATGAGAGAGGACTGGATGCACGAAATGGCACACTCTGGTATGGAGGCGGCAAGACTATAATGCTGGGGGAAGGATTTTAGAATAGCATCAGAGCATTAGACCTATAGACCGATACATCCTTGCTGTTTTGAAGCTTTCTCAACCATGACCATGACTCACGGGCCCTATCCTGCTTGACGTTGAGGGGTAATGACTCAACCCTTAAATTTTGTTCATCACCATAAAGGCATTTTCTCGTGCTTTGCTTTAGAAAAGTCGTGTTGGTGCAACACAGAGAGTTTTTTTTCATTCGTTCCCTATGAAACATGCCTCAAATCGAGGGCGTGTACCTCCTTTCGCCTGTGTCCATCCATGATGCCCAAATGCCGCCGAGGTAAGCATAGAAATGGTGACCCTGAGACCCCAAACACAAAGCACTTAGAACACCAGAGCAGCACCCTTCGTCTTCTTGTCACCACTTTTTTTTAATGTCAGCATATTGTAGAGTCTGTGGAGCCAAGAGATCACGTACCCAAGCTCGAAGTGCTTGCATCGCTTCAGCGCCAGCTGGAGCTTGGTCTTGCACTTGACACACTCCAATCGCAGAACAACCTTCTTGGTGGTCTTGGCCTTCTTGTGGAAGACAGGCTTGGTCTGACCACCATAACCGGACTGCTTGCGGTCGTATCGTCGCTTACCCTGGGCGAACAGAGAGGCCTTGCCAGCCTTGTACTGGGTGACCTTGTGCTGGGTGTGCTTGCGGCACTCCTTGCCCTTGCAGTAGGTGTTGCGGGTCTTGGGAATGTTGACCTGTAGGAGCCAGAATGTTAGCTATCTGGTGATGTTCGAGTATCAAGACCTCTGCCAGATCTCAGCATATCGAGTCGCACGCCCACGAGACAGTTTGAGAGAAAAGATCGAATCGTCGGAAAGGGCTTCAAAGGCGCAACAAGTGACGCCTTCGAGTATCGTCGGTTCGAGGTTGGGCGTGATCGTTTCGAGTTCGTGTCCCTTCAGGTTGCTCCGAAAATTCATCCCACTTTCTCCCAGTGACTGTCATAGTGCGCGGGTGGTCGAATGGCTCGAGAAAACGGCATTGCATCCTTAACAATACGATGATGCTATTGTTGATGCTGGTAATGAGGCTTTGGGCTGCAGCGACGTACCATTTTGACGACGATGTACGGTGCCGTTCTTTGGGTGTGTTTGGTGATGCAAGTTCCAAAGACTGGCTAAAATTGGGAGGTTTTGGGTGAATTCTCACTTTGTGGGCAGCCGACCCTACCTAGCCCCATTCGGGCGGTGTGGCACTCGCTTGTGTCAGCCACAGTTGAGCGCCTGAGATATTGGGCAATCGTGGTTAACGCCTCATCCCGGTGAGGCGAAGGTGAAGGTACGTACCGTGGAGCTCACCCCACGATGAGATGGAAGTGGAAAGGACAGACTACGACCGGCCCCACCATTCCATTGGGATCCTATGCGCATCCTAGGTGTTCTCAAGGGACGTTTTCAGGGACAACAGTTAGTCACATACAGGAGACGATACAAAAGCGTTAATCAAAATGGATCCCTACTCGGCCGAAGGCGAATTGATCAATATTCACAACCATTTCCATCAAGGCCAGTATCAGGAAGTTATCGACTTTGATACCTCTTCCTTCTCCCCTGACAACGCCCTGCCCGCGCGCATTCTCGTCCTCCGAGCTCGATTGGCTCTTGGACAGGCAGAAGATGTTCTCGATGACGTGAAGGGCGAGTCTGAACCTGAGCTCCAGGCCCTGGGTGCTCTTGCTGAATTCAACTTGGGTAAGGCCGATTCTGCGGTCCAGACGATCGAGAAGCTGGCCTCTTCAGCTGCCGACAACACAACGGTACAGGTTATCGGAGGAACGGTTCTCCAAGCTGCTGGAAAATCTGAGGAGGCACTTTCTCTTCTCACTCAACATCAGGGAAGCCGTAAGCTCACCTAGAGGTCGAATCATGCTTAGAATGCCGCTGACCGCTATTATTCAGTCGATGCTGTCTCCCTTATCGTCCAGATTCACCTGCAGCAAAACCGAACCGACCTCGCACTCAAGGAAGTCTCTGCCGCAAGGCGATGGGCTCAAGATAGTCTCTTGGTCAACCTGGCCGAGTCGTGGGTTGGATTAAGAGTGGTAAGTGTTCAATAGGTATGGGAAATACATTCACTAAGACGGTGTAGGGTGGTGAGAAGTACCAGCAGGCCTTCTACGTCTTTGAAGAGCTCGCCCAAGCTCCCTCGACCTCATCAGTTCGAAGTCTTGTTTCGCAAGCTGTCTGCGAACTGCACCTCGGCCGAACAGAAGAAGCCCAGGCTGCTCTCGAACAGGCCCTGGAGAAGGACGCTAACAACGCCGACGCGATTGCGAATCTGCTCGTTCTCAATGTTATCTCCGGCAACCAGTCCGATGAATTCACACAGTCAGTCCCATTATCCGATCTCCATCTTTAAGCAAGTTTATACTCATATTTGCTAGGAAACTGAAGAGCGTCAAGCCTGACCATCAATTCTTAGCCGACTTGGAGGAGAAGAGCGCCTTGTTTGATAAAGCTGCCACAAAATACAGCCCCAAGGTGTCGGCATGATTTAGACTATGCGTATGAATTGCTAAAATTAATGGCGGGCGCATTATTAATAGACGATTGGACCTCCTTGGCAATGGTTATTGAGATCTTGTACGTAAGGCGACAGTACGTCCGAGTCACAGAGAAGGCCAGGATCATGAAAACATATCAAGACTTTTGACTGCAGAAGAATTAAACTCAAACCTGGCAAGGGAACGGACAACCACTTATGTGCGGGCTTGTAATTCTTAAACCTTCTGAGCTAAGGATATTCTGCATATGGGATAAGCTGTTCTCGCAAGATCTGACATACCTTCCGAAAACCAATTTTGTCAAGATAGGCCGCCGATTCGTCCATTTACCGTGTAAACAAAGTGCCGACCAATGTAGCTAACGACTGTTGATTGTTCTCTGAGTTGCTGAATCTCAAAAGCATTATCGTCCATGATGTCGTCACGAGACACTAGTAGGGATACCGACTAGTAGTCCATATTGTTAGATTCAGCTCAGTTCGTCGCACCCAAGAAACAGGATGTGCTGCTGTAACAGCCTGAGATTGCACGAGGGGATAATTTATTTGGGTGAGCAGGCGTATTAGCTCGCTCAAAAGTTCAGAAACTAGAACATCCATATCATAAAAGGAGTCAATTCTTTCCGTCACCGTCAATCCTAAACCCCGTGATAAAAAGAGAACAAGTCTCATGTACCCATGTCATAAAGCATCGTGACGGCTCACACGAAACTCCCGAATTTCCCAACCAAGATGTCATCATCATTCGCTAACGCTCAACTCGGCTCTGAAGCCCTCTTAAATTCTTTTGTCTAAGCATTGGACGTAATTGCTCATTTCTTCTTGTTGGGGAACTTGGGAGCGCCAATGTCGCTGCCTCGCAACTTGACATTGAGCACTCGCTCCATGGCGCCGAGCACCTTCTGATCGGGGGCGGCAGTGCCTCGCTCGAAGTCGGCGACGATAGCCTGGGTGGTGTTGCATCGGGTAGCAAGATCCTTCTGGGTCATCTTAGGCTCAACTTGCTGGCGAGCCTTGGAGATGACATCGCCAACAGTCTTGCCGATGGTGTTGGGCTTAATGATGTCGTCGGATCGATCAACCTTTGTCATACGCTGACCCTCTGGTGCAGAACCCTGCAAAATAGTTAGTGTGTGCTACAGAGAGATGATAGACATGCTGTACGTACGGCATTGGCAGAAGAGTACTTCTTCTCGGTAGTAAGACCGCCAGCTCGTTGGGCAGCGTTCAGAGCAGCCTTTCCTCGAACAACAGTCTCTCGCTGGGCAGCGCCGGAGCCACGTGTGCGGCTACCGATCTTGGTGGTGGTATCCCAGTCATCCATTTTGAAGATATGAAGTTTTGTCGAACAGAAGATGTGTGCTCTAGAGCGAGATTTGACTCGATGCGACGATGTGGAAGAAGTGTTGTTTGTTGAGAGTAAGAATGGAATATAGATCAAGCTGAAGTTCTGGGCGACAAAGAATTTATGGGGAAAGTGATGGAATGGACGGAGGGGTTTAGACTTGGACTTGGGTCACTGAGTCAATCGGCGGGGGACTATAATTGGCACCGTGCATTGGTGGCCTCTCTTTGCATGCGCCTTGTTATCCCAGCGGTAAGGCTGCCTCGGATTTGGTTACCAAGCCCTGGAGATAACAGTGTGGCCAGACGTGTTAATTTTCACTCGCACCGCCACTGGTGGCTCATGTGTCGCCTCTTCGCAGCCCATAGAAGGTGCTAGACTTTCTGGATCGGACCCTTTTTTGCAAGGGTTGAGACGGGGCACGGAGACGCCTATGCCGGTGCTGATAATACACAGGCAGACGGGTCCGGCCTGACTCTCTGAGTGAAAAGACTCAATGACGATGAAGCGGGACCCAGACGTGCTTGACGAGGTGACGTGCTCTCGTGCTCTTTCATCTTACACTACACGTAAAGATTCTATCGCTCCTAGGTTGATGACTAATGGCAGATTGATCCTTGGAGGCTCAGCCGCTCAGTGGTAGATGAAGTGTCCATCCCGTAAAGCCAACTACGGTACCTTGATGGACAACTTTTAACCTCGGACTTGCTTAATAGATATTGAAACAAAGACCTTTAAATCTTGGTGCTCGGGTCCTCCTTTATCTCTTCTTCTCCTGTGTCACTCCCATCCCGTTAGGCTGGGGGAGGTTCATCTTCACGGCTTTTTCGACAGATGCATGACCGACCCTTGGCTTGCCTATGGACGGCTTGTCTGAGGGCTCGCCGCTTCTATTGGCCGTCCTCGTTGCAGACTTTGTTGATCGACTCTCGAAGAGATGGTGGTATGTTTTTACCATCTTGACTACAGCTTGGGTATATTTTGCTCTTGCAAAGAGACTCGATATTTTACTTACCCTAGGCTTTGTTGCTTGGAAACATGCTTCTGTGATGGCCTCGCTTGTAAGCCACATCAAATCAAGGTACATCACGGATGTCGCCTTTGGTATAGGCGCAACATTTCTAGTTGGTTGTTATGTCTCAAGATGGACTTTTCCTCGCAAGGTCAATCCCTCGACTAGTACTCCTCATCCACTGCTGATTCCTAGTCGCATAACTCATCATAGATTTTATCCCAAGAAGCATTCTTTTTCTTATCCATACCTCGTGGTTTGCATCCCGATAGGGGTCTCGGATAATGCCAGTGGTATTCTATTTGCAAATATCCACGGCCCATGGTCTTGGTTCACACACTTGTTCGGATTGAGAGCCTTGTTCGATGTTTGTCCTGCTGATCACCTACAATGCAAACAGTCGGACAATGGCTTGCGCGGAAAATTGGAGGCATATCTGGAGCCTGAGGTTTGCTGCGCTCCCTTACAGTCGAAGTCAGACTGACAAGCGTAGGGTATTGATGCCTCGCGATATCCGTATGCTTATCTTTTGACTGCGGCACAACTTTCAGGCTTTCACTTTAACCCGGTAAGCTGCTGGTTCCTTTACTCATCAGATAAGGTCCTTGAGGCAATCATTCTGGAGATAAACAATGTCTTCGGGGAGAGGCACCCCTATCTTCTCGTGGGAGAATTACAGAAACAAGAAGAAGAACATATTCAGGATATGACCCATAACGACCAAGTTCTTCAGCGCGCTCAAATAAAAACATCATGGCGAAAGAGATTTCATGTTTCGCCTTTCAACTCGCGAAAGGGGTCATACTCTATACTTGTGAAAGATCCCCTCGAGCCTGGAATGCAAGGATTTCGAGGACTTGATATCTCTATCACTCTCTCGTCGTCAAAGGACCAGCCGAAACTTGTTGCAAAATTGCTATCTGAAGGCGAAGCTATTAATCCCTACAGAATGAGCATATTAGGAAGGGTCGGTTTCATTTCCAGCTGGCTATGTTCGGTTCTGACTATCCTTCCTCGATTCATGATGCAATCAGCCATCCTCTTCTTCAAGCATAATATTCATTTCTGGTATCGACCTGAACCTCTCAAGGACAGCATAGGACGTTAGGCAAATGGGATCGAGAAAATTCTCGAACAAGTATTTCGTGAATACTTGGAGTATCTTGCCCAACAGTCAACCGCCCCGGTCATTATCCGATACATGCCCGGGGGAGTTGCTGAAGCTTCGGAAGAGACATTCATCTCACCCTCAACATACGACCCCGGAGACTCTACTTGCGAGATCAAGCTCAAAGTGTTGACGCCGCTTTTCTATTCACGCTTCGTTTACTATGCACATGATTCTGAGGCCATCTTCTGCGAGATGGCTGAAAGCTGTACCATTTGGACTGACAAGCCGGAACAGCTGACAAAGGTCTTTTTGAAGAAGGGTTCCCCACCTATTCATGCTTACAATCTGCTTGATTACATGCACTTTCAGCTCATCAAAAACCTAAGACGCCGACCAGATAAGGTCGAGAGACCATTGACTTCTACCAATGGACATTCGTCCTCAGTGAAAGGCATTGATATCCGGGAGTTTCGAATGTCATCAATGGACGCCTTTGTTCTTGAACAAGTGGATACCGAACTCAAAAACGCGTATTTGAGGTCTGTTGTTCGCCTCTTTGTGGCTGATCGCATTGCTATGAGAAGTGTCGGGCTACTTGGCATGATGGAGTTCATAGGAAGAGTGGGCGCCTCATGGGTGCTAGCGTTGCTCATCACGCAGGCCATTTTGGGCTTCTCATGATAATCATTCTTTTGGTGGACAGAAGCACGGGAAGCGCCCATCCCTTATGACCGCGCCATATCGTTCACAGGTTAACGTCCTGCCTCCAACATACATTCGGCACAACTGATATTGATACGTTTGGGACGATTCAAAACAGGCTATAAACCGACGACGATTTGAGATTGTTTGAGCTGACCAATCAGCACCACGAACTATCAAGTCCCAGGCGTTGAGCTCTCCACTGCCCCGCGATTCTTATCATCATTCTGATCAAGCTGTCACTGAGCTTGCTGCCTCGAATTTGAAATCGAGAGCTTCTCAAAGCTTTAGGAATTGCTTGACCGACAGTAATCTGCTGCCAGACTGTCATTGCAACTCCAACTATACAGTACCCACAGCCCCTGCATACACTCGGTATATTTCAAATTGTCTCAATTCCAAATACTATACGCATGAAGCGGGGCTTCGTGCTTCGTCTCCATCGAGACTACTCAATGAAGAATGACAAATATCTCTGTCAACGTCACACAGCACTTGGTAAAAGTACCAGGGGCGCCCGACGAACTAAGGCTGACGATGCGACTCACCAATGGGACACCGCTGCCTATCGGTAACCGTATTTTAACGGACTGAGGATCTGGAATTGAACGATGGCCTGTTTAGAGAATCCGGGTATTTGGAAGTGTCAGACCAAAATCAGACTAACATGCGAAGGATGCAACGCCTCTCAACAGGCTAGCTCTCATGCCATGCCTTGTTACCAACATGAAGCTCAACACAAATGATCGAAACATGCAGCTCCAGTTTACGCCCGTCGTTCCTAGTTCGACAACGCATCCTTTAACCTGAAGATCATCTTCAACGTCATCCAATCACCCCCCCACCACCAAGTTCCCGGTCCTCGTTCATCATACTGTACCGTTACTCCAAACACTCCCCATCACTGACAAGAGTTCGGGATTTCCCTTTACCCCGCTATGGCCCCTCATGGAGCTTTCGAGAGCTTCGCTCAAGCATTAAAAGCTCTCTGTCCCCCGTTCTAGAGGGTGCCTTTTAGCTCAGACATCAATTCTCGACTTCGTACAATAACTTGTCAACACACTCTCGAACAATTACAATGCCTCTCTCTGGACACTGCCTTTGCAAAGCCGTCACCTACAAGGTTGACGACGAGCCTCTTCTGGTTGGCTACGATCACTGTGACGATTGCCAGCGCCAGAGTGGTTCTACCTACTGTACGCCTCAGCTCCACGAGCCAATGATGATTAAATAGGTCAGGCTAACATCTCTTACTTTAGCTCTCGTGGCTGTTGTCAAGAAGGACAAGCTCACCATCAGCGGCCCCGTCAAGACTTACTCTGGCAGTAAGGGCTCTTCCGGCAACATTGTCCACCGTCTCTTCTGTTCCGAGTGCGGCTCTCCCATCGCCCACGACCCCGATGCTGCTCCTGAGATCATTGCGCTCAAGGCCGGTACTCTCGACACCGAGATCAAGAAGAACTTGAAGCCGGTAAGTGCAACTGGCCCATGTCGATGCTAATGGTGACTAACATTGACCATAGGATACTGAGATCTGGACCGTCAGCAAGCTGCCCTTCTGTCAGGAGCACCTTGCTAAGCCCTTCTCCCACATGCCCGAGTAAAGAACAGAACATTGGAAGGATATGATAATGAGGAGTTAGCGAGTTGTAAAGAAAGGCTACATGCCTGCAAATAGTTCAGAAAAATACAAATTTCTTAGCACCTTCTCTTCCCATTATATCCTTTGGTACTGGAATTCATCACGGGTTTACCAGTCTAGAGCACAGTTGTGCCGCAGCACTCGATGCCATGATACAAGTTGTAAAACATGGATTGATGTGGTTGTTGAGTATATTTAATAATTCATTCTCTAGATAATCTAACAGCGATCAAATTTACATAAATGCTTTTTCATCCACCCAGAACTCATCCGACATTAGATCATTATAGTCTACACCCTCATACAAGCGCAATACACAGCATCACCATCATCACCACTGTGATAGCGGGCTTCTCATAGCTGGCTGCATCGGCTTTAGGAAACTCCTTCTGTACACGGCCGGTTTCACTGGCCTGTGCCGTGAAGCAACTCGCCGTGCCGCAGTCATATCCATCTGGACAGCATCCAGCCACAGGGCCGGCATCTCGACCACAGAGGAACCAGCCATCTGCGCAAGTTGATGAGGGTCCTGGAGCAGGTGGAGCATCGGTTGCAAGGACGACGACAGTTGCGCCGTCTGAGACGATAGTTGTCGAAGGAGCAGGGCAATCGTGAACATCACAGTTTCGACCTGTTCGACAACATCCGCCGCCGTGAGTGGCGAGACAGCCGTAGAAGCCCGTGGGGCAGCCTGTTTGGGTCTCTCCATCGTCGCTTGATGTTACCGAGGTGCCAGTTGGGCGGTAGGGAGCGATGCCAGTGGCTGAGCCTGTAGCTGTAGGAGTCGCGGTCTCAGTACTATCTTCTGTGCCAGACTCGGTTTCAGTTTCAGTCTCGGCTGTGGTTCCAGCTTCGGAAGCCGTTGTAGGCTCTGCAGTTGTCTCAACCTCTGGTTCTGTTTTGGTAGTAGGCTCGACTGTGGGTTCCTCAGAAGTTGTGAGGACTGTCGTTTGATCTTGAGTTGCGGTTCTCGTCTGCGTAGCAACAGCACTTGGGACGCCTGATTATAGTCAATATTGGTTTGCGAAGCATTGCAGGTATTCACTCACAGCCCAGCCCTTGGCAAACATATCCCGGAATACAACACCCTCCGCCAAGCTCTGCAGAGCAGCTCGTAGCTCCATCAGGACACGCCCCAACACCTCCACCACAAGACGCACCGTCAGGACAGCACGCGATGCCTCCCGCCACAGTATTTCCAACATTCACACAATACGTCCCCTCCTGACAGCACTTGACTTCGGAGTCAATGTCAGAGCAGCTGTTCATCCCCTTGGGACAAGACGACCTCCTCTGCAGCAACGCCAATGCCTCTGCGGCTCGGCGCAGCAGGCTCTCGTGAGACTCTTCACTATGAGGGGCAAACGCTGGACGGTAGAAGCGCTCTGTGCCATTGAGGCTCAGAAGTTCGTCATCTTGCTCGTCAAGAAATGATATGGCAGCAGCGGCAGCTTCGCGCGGAGTAAGAACGTGCAGTGGTGCGAATGCGAGATGCTCCCGAAGGAGCTTATCGTGCGAACCAGGGGCGACTTTTCTGATAGCTATTGGTGAACATGATTCAGCGTAGGTTTGAGGAGGAAGCAATGAGGCGAGACACAACAGAAAAGCCGATATGGATCGCATTGCCGTATACTGAGTAAGCTGGAGAGCTCAGGTTCTCAAATTGTCTTGCGTTCAATTCTCGTTGGGCTCATAGAATTTCAAGTGACGGCGGTGAAATAAATGTGTGATGGGTATTATGAATGTTTACACCGCCACACAGTACGAGCCAAATGCCGTCGTTAGACACAGATTCAAGAACGTCAGGAAATGTCACTTGGCTATTGTTCAGATTATAAGATACCCGTTGAACGAGACAGGGTATGATGCTGCCGATGGGTATGACAATGACAACTCAGCCTTTTTAGGTGGCTTGTAAACAATTAATTGGGTGGCTGGGAGCCGGGTGGGTGAAGGTATGATGGGGCCACAAGGTGGCTCTATCGCTAGCTTGACAGATCCAATTGCGTGCTCCAGCACTCGGTTAAGTTATAGTGAGGCCCAGGAATCCTACGAATAGATCATAGCTCTGGTAGTTTACACGTATGAAGGAGAGAAATTAAGAAAAGTTTGTACGAGGAGGAGTCATGATGGCGGGCAGCGTGGCGTGCAACGTCATGCAGGGTCTCACAAGCTAACCTTATGAGGCGTCCTCTAACAACCAATGATCGAGCAAGTTCTCTGTAATTGCTTGGTAGATATCGTTGTCCTTTCCTATGTGTTTCGTCTAGTATACATCGTGATGGTACATGATTTCTATGCCCCCAATGCCTAACACCCAAGCGCCACCCATAGCATCGTGTTGTACATAAGTTATTACAGTCGCGGCACTTAGGCCCAGTTCAATGTTCTTAGAACACCAAATCGTCAGATTCCTTGAGCTTTTGATCGTCAGGCTGCTTTTGCTCTGCTTCTGTAGCAGCATCGACTTCTTCAGGTTCCCCACCAGTCGTCTTTTCTTCAGAGGAATTTTCACTTTCAGCTTCAATGAGCTTCGCCCCAGTCTCCGTTGCTATGGTCCTGCTCTCTACTTCGTCAGAATTGGCCTGCGACTCTGCCAGATTGGCCAAGGGCTCAACCGGCTCTGGTGCAACAACCACAGGTTCCTTGACAAAGGAATGACACAAGAGGCCTGCCGCAACACTGACGTTCAAACTATCCACACAGCTTCCTTGGACAAACCGAGGCACTGATAGCTCATAGTTGGCAGCAACCTTGATAGATTTCGATAATCCATAGCCCTCATTACCAAGAATTAGTAGACAGGGATGTTCGTTTAGTGGGCTTTGTGCCTCAATCGTGTCTGTTGACATGAACTTGCTCCCATGCTTTCGAACAAGCTTGCGATCAGGCGGCGCCACCGCAGCGTATGATTTCCAGCCAGCTTTCTGGGAGTCTTGGATGAACGTCACAGGATCATCCACCGCGAATAGCGAAACTTCCTCCACTGCACCGGCGGCGGACTTGAGAACAACCGGTGTGAGTGCGGAAGACCCTCGATTCGTGATGCCGACAGCGTCAACCCCGAGATAGCTAGCAGTGCGGATGATACCACCCAGGTTCCCCGGGTCGACAATCTCATTGAGCAGCAGGACAAAGGGCTTGGGCATCACATCATTGGATCGTCGAATAAAAGTGTCGGTGCCATTGATCGTTGCCTCTTCCTTGGTTTGGTGATCAAGGTCCACGTGAAAGCCCAGGCGACCAGGACTCTCCTCTAACTTGCCGAGAGACTTGATGGGGATTTGAGGTAGAGGGGAGGCTTCAAGCACGAAGCCATTATGAGGTCGTCCCATGCTCATCTTATCCATGATCCGTTGCTCTTCAGGAGGCACGATTGTTATGGAGACGTTGAGTTTCTTCGCCATTCGTGTCAAGGTAACAGTATCCTTGTTATATTTTCGGTTTTCATTGGCGTGGATGTAGAGGTTATATAACTTTCGTCGGTTCTGCTCCAGTGCTGCCTTGACAACTGATCGGCCGTATAGGAACTGTGAAGCAGCGGTCGTGTATTTGAGGGTCATGGCCATCATCTCTTTCTTCTTTCCACGCTTAATATCGACAGAATCGTCTCCCTGGTCATTCCGTCGGTCTTCTCGAGCGTTGTCATGGCGAAAGTCGCTACGCTCTGAACGATCAAATCGCTGCTGCGATCCGTCAAATTGACCATTGGACCACCTACCTGAGAGATTTGACTGACGATCTTGACGGTCGAACCGACCAAAACTTTGTTGTGGATCTTCAGGACGTCGTTCTGAACGATTGAATTGCTGATTTGATTTTTCGAACCTCTCGTTCGATGGCCCAGGTCGCTCGTCTCGTGCAATATCATCATCCCCATCCCTGGACCCAAACGCTCGCTCCTTTTTGTCTTCACGGAATGATCGCGGCCGGACAGGTTGCTTTATGTTCAGATTATCGGCCACCTCTTTGAGATCGCCATATTTCATTCGGTGTACGAAGCTGCGATTTCCAAATTCGTTTTCAGGATCAGCAAATCGCCTCCTTCTGGTTCGGCGGCCTATGCCTAGCTCTTCTCTCTCTTCTCGTGCCTTCTTTTCCTCCTCTTTTTTCCTTAACTTCTTCTTCAGCTTCTGTTCCTGACGCCAATTTCGTGTGCCACTTGTTTTCAAGCCGGAGTCAATGGCTCTTGCACTGAACTTTTCGAAAAACTCGTCTCGACGGGGGGGCTCTTTGACACGAGTGAGGCGCCCTCCTCCAACTTTTCGTCGACCGGTATCATGTTTGGCGCTGCTGTCTGGGCCTTTTTGAATTCGTTCAGACCTGATCGCACCTCGGATAATGGCTGAGAGACCTTTTGCGCGAACAAAGATGGGGGCGAAACTCCTGGTAGCGGGATGAAGCCTTGCCAATGGACGATTTAGAGCAACAACCCTTAGTTGTGTAGGAGTAAGCATTGCATAACGTGGCTATAAATCGCTCGACAAGAATTTTCCTAAATTTTTCGTTTGCGTTTGTCCTGCCTGCTGCACTGCAGGTTGTAGTTGAATTCGTTCAAGAATCCCTTCAGTAGAAAGTTTCAATATTTGCCCCGCTGAATTATTTTTCTGCCCCATTGACTGCGTTTAGCGGGTCAAGGGCTGGGCGGTGAGACTCGACGGCAGTGCATTATGGATTATTGCCCCGTGGCCCAGGTGTTAATTGGGCCATAACTTTAACGCGTTTGAATGCGACTGTCGCGTTTCCCGATGCCAATGAAAAGTGAACCTTAAGCAACTCAACAATCAAAATCTCCGTTATGGCGTTTCAGCCATACCAGCAAGCTTATCAAGTTACGAGCCAGCTCGTCAAACTAATCTAAACAATTTGTACACCTAGTCTTGATTCTGACGGACAGTACTGTATACCCAGTGACCTATACACCCCGCCAGGTCTCGATCGCTTTACGAACATCTCCTTTGCGATTTATGCGACGCACCCGGCAGCCACCAGATGGACGCCGAGAACTCTTTCTACGAACCCCTCGAGAGCCTCATAAATCAAGATGATAACGCTATTGAGCGGTCGCTAGAGTGGCTTCTGGCGGATCTCAATGGAACAAACGGTTCTCTGCCTGCTAACGTAGATATGGATAGGGGACGGCAGCCAACGGTGCATGGAAAGATGAACGCTCGAGATGATGATAAGGAAGAAGGAATTCCCCAAATCGAGGGCGATGGATCAGACATTTTCAGACTTTCTCGGCCCAGCTACAGGTTCGAGGTTGCGATTCCGGAAATGCCTATTGAGAAGCGCAACGAGTACTCGGCCGTTCATAGCGATATCGTCGAGTTCATATTTGGGGAGCTCCCGCCAGATCATGGCATTATCAAGTATCGTGTTGAGTTTACAGATGGGCGACAAGAGTTGGTAGGTGGATATTCTTTCATTCTTTCATAAGGAGATGCGAGGCTGCTTTTTCTGCATGGCCAAGAAACGCTATTATCTATATGCTTGAGTACCGCTCAAGCTATTATTCTGCAGCCTCAAGCTCGAGCCGCAAATATAATATGCGAGCTCTTGTTCATAACATGCCTTATTCACTGCCTAACTCGCAAACATATTCTTCTCTATTGTGCCCCCCCCGCTGCCGCTCTTCCTTCATCACGCCTTTTTCCCCTTTTCATTTCTTTACCTGTAACACACTTGCACACTCCCCTTCTCAATACCCTCTCTTCCACTTTCACCGCAAAGCACTGATTTATCTTCAAGATATCTACAGCTGAACTCGTTACCCTTGAGAACGGAAGAGCTGCCTTAGCCCGATTCAGCCAAGGCCTATTGCCACACGAACTTGACGACATGTCTACCCGCAAGCGAAAATACATACCAGATGATGAGTGGGATTCTGGACAGGAGTCTGTTGTTTCTGACCGTATGGAGATTGATGCGGAGGAGGATGACGAGCCCGTTCAGAGAAAACGCTCGTCTCGAAGCGTACCCCGACGCCTTCGCTCCAGGGAGAACACCAAGCAACTTTCACGTAGTCCTGCGATGATGGTTGACGAAGATGATCTGGAAGATCTACAGCCAGAGCCTTTAGGGGCCACTAGATCGTTGAGAACTCGGCAGCCAAGACAACTGACTGGGATGTCCTTTAAGAACGGCATCAATAGTCAAGACCAGGACGAACTGCTTGGTGATGCCCCTCTTGTTTCATCGGGCGAGGAAGATGATGATTTCATGCCTATGGTTGTCTCCGATCTTGCCCCCAAGAAAGGACGCCCTAGCAGGACCCGACAAAAATCGAGGCGTCTTCAAACGGCGAGCATGCGACAAAAGGCTCGATCTCAATTGCGCCAGAAGTCTCATGACTCAGACATCGAGTTTGAAGCACCTCGGCGTTCCTCCAGAGCGACAAGGAATACCCTAAACATGCGAGATGATACCCAAATGGACGAGGATTCCTTCTATATTGCCGATGATAGGGCCCCCAGCGCTCCGAAGATCATCTCAATCAGAGAAGTTTTTCAACCTCTTCCCGCCGACTCAGAGTTTGCTTCCATGCACATGGATACTTGTCACAGTTGCGGTGGCTCACGACAACGGGGCCAAATGATTTACTGTCAGGGCTGCACATTGTCCTACCACAAGAACTGCCTGGGATACCGCAGTGCTCGCGAGCATATGGTTACCAAGGTCGGTGAGGATGACTTTGTCATGCAGTGCAGGTTCTGTATCGACGTCCCAAATAAAAAGGACGACAGTGCTCCCAGGCATAGCATGTGTCAGGCATGCAAATCTCCAGGTCGCAGCTGCGCTGCCTTCTCTGAAAAGAAGACATCTCGACAAGAGGAGAAGCTTCGTGAACAGAACGATGGCATTGACCCAATCACTCATGTTCCTCCGGAACTTCTTAACAACGCTGATGCTGTCCTCTTCCGATGTGCTTCATGTCATCGAGGCTGGCACGTTGATCATCTTCCGGGCGCTAGAAGCGGAACAATCGGAACAGATCTTAAGTCTGAGCGCCTGCAGGACCATTCGATTGACTGGCAATGCAAAGAGTGCGCAAATGCTAGGCACAAGATTCATCGACTCGTGGCATGGCGTCCGATACCGATAGAGTTTGCCAAACAAATCCCTCGACCGATGTATGCTGAGATTCGAGAGGACGACAAAGAATACCTGATCAAGTGGGAAAGTCGATCTTATGCTCACTGTGACTGGAAGCCGGGTGCATGGGTGTACGGCGTGGCAGCGTCCACGATGCGTACATCCTTCGGAAAAAGAGACATTGAGCAGGATTTGATGAAACTTAGTGAGCAAGAAGCCATTCCGGATGAGTTTCTTATGCCAGACATAGTTCTCAACACCAGATTGGACCCATCACTTCCAAGACCAAAGACAAAAAAAGACGAATTAGAGAACTTGGCCAACGTCAGCAAGATCTTTGTCAAGTTTCAAGGTCTTGGCTACGACGACGTTGTGTGGGACACGCCGCCATCAGAGGATGCAGGCGATATTTATGCTTCCTTTGTGGAGGCTTACTATGAGTATGTTGAGGGCAAATACTTCAAGAGTGAACCTCAGCACAAGATCAGAGAACGAGTCAAGACTTACAAGGCCGAACCGTTTGAGGAGATCAACGAGCAACCTGCTGGCCTCAAACGCGGAAAGCTCATGGGATATCAAATAGAAGGAGTCAATTGGTTGTTGGGGAACTACCATTCAGGCCGCAGTGTGGTTCTCGCAGATGAGATGGGCTTGGGAAAGACTGTTCAGGTTGTAGGTCTTGTGACTTCATTAGTCCAAGACAGCCCCAAGGTAAGGCACCGGCGCCCAGGAAGCTGACGGCAAGTAAACTGACATGATAATAGTGCTGGCCTTTCCTTGTTGTTGTTCCGAATGCCACATGTCCGAATTGGCGCCGTGAGTTCAAGCAGTGGGTGCCAGAGCTGCGAGTGGTCGCCTATCACGGCGGAAGAGAACCGCAGGCACTTGCTTACAAGTACGAGCTGTTCCCCAACGGATCTACTGACATGAAGGCACACGTTGTGATCATGTCCTATGATTCAGCACAGGACCCCGCGACAAAAACCCTTTTCAAGTCTATCAATTGGGCAGGGCTTGTGGTTGACGAGGGTCAGCGCTTGAAGAATGACCAGAACCTTCTATATGGTGCTCTTCGCTCAATGCGAATTCCTTTTCGACTTCTGCTTACTGGCACACCACTCCAGAACAATAAGAGGGAGCTGTTCAATCTTTTACAGTTCATTGATGAGAAGCAGAATGCCGAAGAATTGGACGCAGAGTATGCGGTTCTTGACAAGGAGACGCTACCGAAGTTACACAACAAGATTCGACCATACTTCCTTCGCCGAACCAAAGCAGGCGTTCTCAAATTTTTGCCTCCCATGACACAAATCATTCTGCCAGTCACAATGACTGTGATTCAGGAGAAGCTTTCGAAGAGTATCATGGCCAAAAATCCCGAGCTCATCAAGGCCATGTTCTCTAACAGCAAGATGAACAAGAAGGAACGTGGATCTCTCAACAACATTCTAATGCAGCTGCGGAAATGCCTCTGCCATCCTTTCATGTACTCCGAAGCTATCGAGGAGCGTCACCATGATCCTACAGTAATTCAACGCAACCTGATCGAGGCATCGGCCAAGCTCCTACTTCTCCAAGTCATGCTTCCGAAACTCCAGGAAAGAGGGCATCGCGTGTTGATCTTCAGTCAGTTTTTACAGCAATTAGATATTATTGAGGATTTTCTCAATGGCCTAGGCTACGATTTCCGCCGTCTCGATGGCAGTATCAGTAGTCTAGAAAAACAACGTCGCATTGATGCCTTCAACGCCCCTGACTCGCCCATCTTTGCGTTTCTGCTTTCGACAAGAGCTGGTGGTGTTGGTATCAATCTCGCTACTGCAGATACAGTTATTATCCTCGACCCTGATTTCAACCCACACCAGGATATCCAGGCATTGTCCCGTGCTCATCGTATTGGACAGAAGAAGAAGGTCCTTTGTTTCCAGCTCATGACCGTAGACTCGGTCGAAGAAAGAATTATGCAAATCGGTAAGAAGAAGATGGCTTTGGATCATGCCCTGATTGAAAGCATGGATGACGACGAACTTGCTGGTGATGATCTGGAGTCTATATTGAAACACGGCGCCCAAGCCTTGTTCAACGATGACTACGAAAAGAAGTCTATCCACTATGACTCTGCTGCTGTTGATGCACTTCTAGATCGAACAGGCGATACAGAAAGCAAAGCTGACGATGGGGCATCCTTCTCTTATGCCAAGGTATGGTCCAACGATAAGTCCGGCTTCGAGGCTGGACTTGCTACCGAAGAGACGGCTGAGCCAGAAGCTATCAACTCAAGCGTTTGGGATCGTATTCTGGCTCAACGTGAGGCAGAAGCACAGCGTCAAGCCGAAGCAAATCGGGAGGTTCTCGGTCGCGGTGGTCGACGTCGACAGGTAGGCTATTGGTTTGTAAACTCCTAAACATCATCAGCTAACCACTAAACAGGCTATCAACTACAAGACGAACGCCCTAGATAACCCTATCCCTGGCGATGCCGAAGCTGAGCCGTCAGACTCCTCCGATGACTTTGCTGGCGGTGACTCTGGAGAAGAGTCTGAGGAGGAAGATCCGTCACTGACAAAAGGTAAACGCCAAAAGATTTCATCTGTTAATCAAACAACCCCGTCCACGACACCAGTGAAAAATACAAGCCGCAAAAGTAAAATTAACAAGACTGCAACACAGACGCCGAAGCAGACCTCCACAACCTCAAAGCATCCAACGCAGGTAACGCCAGACCGCAGCAAGTCGTTGGCGACCAGCAAAAAGCCAGTCGCAGGACCCGGCAAGAAACGCCAAACAACCACACCAAACAGCAAAAGCAGCAGCCAACGGGGCAAATCAGTGACACCCAAAACTCCAAGCAGCAACGGAGTACCCAAGACAAACGCACAGCGATCCCCGGCTACCCCACGCAAAACCCCTACCGACAAGCGAGTGGCCCAATAAATACCGGAATGCCTATTGACTTCACACGATACATCAAGGGTAATTACCTCTACCAGGGCAAATCTACAGAACCTGTACCACCTGAGCGGGTGATTCCCACCCAACCCCATGCTCCTAACAACCAAATAGTTGATTACAGATATATCCGCCTTCGCTCAGAAGCCGAAGTTAGAGTAGCCCTTGATTGGGTCCAACGTTCGGAACCTGAGACTGAGGTCAGGAAACAACACAAGGCGGTTCTACTAAACCGTCTAAGGTCGTTTACCGCTAAGGGCGGAACGCAGCACAAATGATGTTACTTTGGACATAGAGAAAACGTGGTTGCTCAGTGCAAGCAGCCGCGCTGATACAATAATTCCCCCACATTTGGTGTGAATTAAAAGTGGACAACAAGTCCTTTGCTTTGCCAGACATTTTGATTTATGCTTGTTTGCATGCCAGGCGGCATCATGCACGCGGAGCTGGGTACCCAGTGAAGGAAGATGGCAAGCTATCAAGTAACCTTGGAAGTGAGCGGCATGACTAACCTCCTCAGTATAGGGAGGCCAGATGATAGACAGCATAGCACAGGCGAAGGGCTTCGGAATGAAAACTTTCATGAATGCACACATGAGCCTAGTTCCTCATTTGATATTTTCGGTCAAGTGTTTGATGGCAAGTGACGGCAAACTCTAGCTGCAGGTAACCGCAGTCGTGGTATATGTCTTGCAAAGCACGCCTCAATTTTAAGCAAACATGTCATGGTGATGACCGTATTCTCAAGTATAAGATGTGGTCAAGCCTTATAAACCGCCCGCCTGAGATTAATCAGTTATCCCCATCCCCATCCTCTTACCTATACCGTGCCCTCGAGCCACCCTGGTAGCCTTCACACCGTATTGTTAAGCATAGGCGCTGCCCTCCGTTTGCTGTTTGCCAGCGCATGTCTCGAAGTTATAACCCGTCTTCCGTTACCCGTCTCCCAGCTCCCAGCTCCCAGCCGCTTGATAAGCCGTGCGTTGGTGCTCCTGAAGCCAAGGTTTCTTATAGCCGTTGGATGCTACACTTCTTGAATCGTTTAGAAAAAGACTGTCTATGCGATACCAACCCTGACTTCGATCATCCCCGGATGAAGCATTAGTCTCTTTCGCCTTCCCATCAAATCAAATTTAACCCTTCTCTTCAATACATTATCAAAAGATCTCGTGTTCATCGCTGGGCTCAAATTCCGTCCCAACACCTCCTCATCTCTCAACATTATGAATCGACCAAGTTCTATGGATCTTTCTCAGCCTTCCTCCAACAACCACTTTCATGTGGTTGGTGGCAGCGGTTATCCTGTTCAAGTGTCTTATGGAGGCTGGCAGCAGAACACTCAAGTCTCCCAGCTTTCTGCTCCACGAAGCATGATATCTGGCAACTGGCGAGGTTCTCCGCCATCTGCAAATCCCATGAACAGCACTGTTCCCGGTACTAAGCACTCGCTCATGGGTTCTCCAGCTAATCCCTCTCCTTCCAACGGCGACGGCGGGCCCGTGAGCATCTCTGATTGCCTCAACGGCTATGCGTACTGCGTGAAGCGACCTGACGGGCTGTACACGAGACTAATTCCGGCAGACATGGTCCCAACCCTCATCGAGCTGCCTGCTACCCAGACAAGCGCCCAGGGAATGATACTGCTCCCGAACTTACACATGCAGCCACCGCGAGGGGTTCCTGGGATGAATCAGCCTGTCACATTCAAGGTACGTGAATTAAATATAGCGCACACAGGTAAACGATGCTGAGTGTATAGGCTCCAACTGGCCCAGCATCTGATATCCTCCAGGTAATCAGCCTCTGGCAGTATTTCGTTATTTTTGTTGTGATTGTCCTTTCCTGGTGCAAAACTAACATCGTTTTATAGACAAGGATTGATCGTATCGTTGCAACATCACCCACTCAGCAACGCAGAACCAAGATCTATTGCGACAAATGGATTCACGACGGCACTTGCGCCTTTACTCAGCAGGGCTGCAAGTACAAACACGAGATGCCCTTTGACAAGGCTACGCAACAGTCTTTGGGCCTGTTCCATGGGTTCCCCAAGTGGTGGCGAGATCACCAGGAAGACCTTCAGAAGCACCGCAATCAAGACTTGCCGGCCAGTAGCAGCCAAGCCATCCTTCAGCCTGGCTGGCGAGCTGATAGCAACGAGGATGCCCCTCAGACCGTTACAGTCCTGTCTCCCATCGGCCCTGAGAGAAATCAGAAATCAAGCAAGGGAAATCGCCGCTCTCAGACTCGTGAGGGGCTGTTTACTGCTCCGGCATGCGAGAAGCGCCTACTAGCAGGTTCAGAGACTGACTGGTTCATGACTTCACCGGCAATTCAGGGCTGGAACGGATCTTCGCCTCGCCCTTCTTCCGTCTCAGCTGGTCATTATATTCGCCAGTAATTGTGTGTTGGGCAAACTACCTTCCTATACGAAGACAAAGAAAAAGGAACATTTCGACTAGACTTTCGACAAGGTTCAATGGATTAGAATTAAAAGCAACGGGAGTGACTCATTCACTCTGTTTTTATGTACCTGCTGGAAATCTGTCAATGTACATGGCTCATTTCCAAAGGCTGTTCGATTGATGTGTTGTCCAGCAACTTAGATATTACTCTCTTTTCTCTTTGATCATTTCATATTAGATACGAACCACATCTTTAGTATAATCTCTGAAAGGCAATGTCTGGGACGCTGCATTGGGACTTGCTTCGTAGATAGCTGAATGATCTGTGGTTTTTCTGTCATTAGCCAACCACGTTTTATGAGAAGTCACTCCGATGGGGTTACATAGGCTTTGGTGAGCTGACCAAACGATTTAGATTTCAGGCAGGATCTATGTGTTACATGAATTAGATGAATACCTGCTGTTAGGCTTAAGTTAACGTTGTGCTTGGCCATACGATGCTGGTGCTTGTGCAATGTGAAGTCTAGTTGTGGGATTTTTGCGCAAGTGGGCCAGAATGGCATGTAGGAGACAATGAGCGACGTCTAGACCGAGATTCGTTTCTGTAAAGGTTTCGTAGAATCATGCTTGTCTGGCGAACAGAATTTCCAAAAACCCCACTATAAGACGAATGAAGCTATCTCCAACCCCCCACCTAAACCTTTGGTGGTGGTGGTGGGGCAGCTCCTTATCGATATCCGCCGGACGATAAGCTCTTTCGGCTAATTCCCGGACCTACAACGTCACCACCCCTCCAATGCGAGAGCTGTGCTCATGAGTGTTGCCTATGAGCTTGGAGAGAAACAACAAACTTCACATCATCTGATTCTCCGTACCTCAATACGAAACGGGAGCTTACAATACAAAGTTCTTCGTTGTCACTTTGAATTTTTGACGAGCATGATAGGGAGAAGATCAGTGTGATACTTTCATCAACTCAAACTCCACAGTTTCACATAAACTACATTGAGAATCAGCCTGAGTATCCAGAGCCCAGCTGAGAATGGACACCGTTGCGGCTGTTTTAGCTGCCTTCACGCCAACTCAGGCCGCCGCGCATTCCGTCAAGAAGTATGATACAGCTATTAGGGACCATGTCGCAGCTGTGAAGTCGCTATGCGCGAACCAGCGGGAAGTCATCAGTGCTAATGCTAGCCAAATTCTACAAGTAAATCTCACAGTATCTTTGTTAATTCTAGCTAACGCTCCCAGAACATTGACCCCTCGAGTGACTCTATCACAATTCAAGCCATCCTCCTTCTCTTACTACAAACATCGAGCCCCCCACCTGATATCGAACGAAGCACCCTCTTAGACGAGATCCTCCGATTCCTTCTCAACTTCAACCCTCTTCAGATACGATATGTGGGTTCTGAATTCCGACGGCTGCTTGAATATGTCGCAGCAGGCACGTTGTTTACTGTATGCGCCATCTCTCCGTGACATCGCAAGGCGCTAACCATCATGCTACTAGACAAGTGTTACTGTAGAGGCTTTGGCTGCCGCCATACTGCGACTCGATCCCACAGGAAGCATGTTCACGTCTACCCATCTTACAATGATCAAAATCGCTTACTCGACATCCTGGATTGAGCCCGCTCTCAAGGTTCTCGATTGCGATGTTACGTTCTACCCTGGCATGGCGGGCCAGAAGGACGCTAAACTCTTGTGTGATAGTAGTATCCATTCCGCTTCCTTCATCTCAGTCGATACAGGCCTGACTGGGGATGTGAAGAGCTCTGCCGTCTTGGAGTATAATCACCTGAGCGCGCAATGCTACATGTCACGACGAGACTGGACCAAAGCCTACCGAGCTCTCGAGCGCGTCATTACGCACCCGTCAAAAGATAAGGGCGTTAGTAAGGTCATGGATGAAGCGTACAAGCGGTGGTTGCTGGTCGGGCTACTTAAGGATGGAAAAGAGCCGAATCTTCCATCATATACTGCCACTATGGCCAAGAATACCTACTCCATACTAGGAGCGCCATACAAGAATATCACCACTCAGTTCACAACCACGAATGCGGGACAGCTCAAAGCGGACATTGAGGCCAATCATCAGGTCTGGGAGGAAGACGGCACCTCATCGTTGGTTGCGGAGGTAGTGGCCGCGTACCCAAAGTGGCAAATCATCAACCTCCGCGACATTTATACAAGGGTGTCCATTTCCCAAGTGCGTCTATCAACACTCAGTGCCGAGACGGGTGAAATCCTCACGGACGACGATACTACCACACGCTTAGTTCAAGACATGATTGATTCAGGTCTACTAAAAGGCGAGCTACAGCCGGGCAACAATGGGGACGAACTCTATCTCCACTTCCACGACGATAATGAGGCGATGACAGAGGCAAAGTTTGCCCAGGAGATTGCCCAGCGTTACCAGAACATCGAAAATCTTGGTAAGCAGTACAAAGCAGCCAACGAACGGCTGGGCAATAGCAAGGAGTACGTGAAACACGCTGTTAGGGAGCAGAAGCGGGCAGATAAGGACCCTGCAGATCCTGGAGTTGGTTTTGATTCTCTAATAGAAGATGAAGACCTTATGACTGGCATCACACCAACTGCCTGATTCGATTACGGGGAAACGGGCATATTGAATTAACCCCAAAACGGGTATCTGGCAATAACCTATGGTCAGCAGTATGAGTCTATTCTTCTGAAAAGCAGCCATAGTTCTTTCTCCCATCACAGGACGCGACATGTTCATTGGGAGTTGGCTAACAATGCTGCTCACATGAGTTACGGTAGATGAAGACGCAGCGTATACTTTAGATGCATTAGATAGTTAATCAAAAGAACTAGCTGTGGTCAAGCACCACTTGATGAGGGTGTCCTGCCCCCCTGATTTCGTCTTCTGCTCCAGATTATATCTTCCTCCTTTGTTCCCATTTCTCAATTTTGAAGGACATCTCTGGAACTCTGGAACTCCATTTACCGTTTGTCACTATCGCTCTAATTCCTGGTTCTATTTCTCCTCCTTAATTCTCTATTCATGTTCCTTTCTGTGTATCTTGGGCCCGTGATGGAGCACAATACGACTCATAATCACGCCTCTCTGTGGTACGCATCTGGTTTACCAGCCTTTCCGTTGATCTCGAGAGTCATTTCTTCAATATCTTCATGTGCCCTTTCACCCCACGTGCCCTCGCCAGGAGGATGCTGGTGTTCGTAACGCTTCACCTGCGCATGGTAAGCTCTTTGTTGCCTTCGAACTTCCAATTCACATTGTCCTTGCCAGCCTTGTACAGAAGCATAGGCTCAGGTCGGACATCTCTCCGATGCCCCTTCCTTTCCCACTCTTATAATGGTTTGAATAACGTCTTCCGCTCTCATATTGGGCGCTGTGCCTCGAGAGTGCTTCTCCAATACTTTGCCACTCGCCGCAGTATACTCTCTGCCAAAGAATCAGGTTCTTAAACAAGTTTGATCTTGCGGGTGTGGGTTTTTTTTTCTTTTTCTTTTTTTCTTTTTTTCTCTTCTTTTTTAGAAATATCTAAGAAGTTTTCTCTGGGATGAATGCCGTCGGCGCCCCTTTCAAGGATGTCGAGAGGAGCTCGAGCTTTGAGCATGTCATGGTGCTGCTTGAACCGCGTATGACAAGATGACGACCATCAAGGCTGAACCATTGGCCAAAGGGACCACAGTCATTGTATAGTTCACTAGTGGCCGTATAAAGCCAGTGGTGTTTCTTGCATGAGTAGATGTGCTAGCAGAACACACAAGAAGTCAAGAACTGTTCCTTCTATGGTCGTATTACTTATTCATTGTCAGTTGCACGAGATATTATCTTGTGTTTTGTCAATATTTTTGCTGAAATATAATCACCATGAGACTTGAAATCTCGTGACATTCTAGGTGACGTATGAAGTTCATGAGTTGTGTGCCAAATTGCAAGAGGTTGAGTGTCTCGAGCTCAACGACGCATATTCTTCCATCACGAACAATGTATTAGCAGTCCTTTGAGGCACTCTCATGGCCATTAAGTATTATAATTAAGATCTTCACATGACAGAAGGTTCAATTGAAATCCAAAAACGATTATTATGACGCTATCTTTTCTTCAAAGTGTATTGTATTATTTAGGCGGAAGAATTCATAGCCCACCTCAGCGCCGTGAAAGAATTTCGTCCGCTTTGGTAGAGCTCAACACAATCATGTTGGAAGGCCTACCCCCTTGACCTCGCCCGCCTGTCTATACCGTGATATCCTATGTACTATACGTCCCTTATGCTCATGGCGACAAACATCTAAAATGAGTATTCTCTATGCAATTATTCCCTGCTCCGCGTAATGCAATGAACCAAACAGTCTAAATAAGCGCGCAATTCTGGTTGTTGCGCAGGCTTTTGATTTCATGTCGTGTCCCAGAACTTAAAGAGCCTTAGCTTCTCAACGATCTTGGAATTCTGGGCCGAAGGCTTTTTCTCCAAATTTGTACATCAGCAGGGCCTCGAAGCTGAAGTTAGATCCGCATAGCGTCCTACGACGAATGTGATGAAGACCTATGCCTTCTTCGATGACGAAGGTTTGGATGCGCCGCCCTCATCTCTCCCTGAAGACACTGCGGCTCATCCCTGTTAGGTCTACAACAGCAACCCATAGCAGCATGTAACAGGAATGCCACATCGGTGAAAATAGCAGCCAGCCACATGAAGACAAACATCTTGATGCCAATGTTTGCCCTGATATTGAGTTGATCCTGCGCCGTGAGTGCGACCTTAGCAGCAACACTTATGACAGTTGCAATGATAGCTGCGAGCGAAATAAGAATCGCTGTGCAGAAAGCGAGAACTGTTATTACCAGACTCCACCAACGGGTGCGAATAACGAGAAGGCTTAGTGGAATAAGGACAAAGTCGATGCATATGCCGGCCATGAAACATCCATACATGATTCTAGAGCCTATCTTGAGCAAGTTGAGGACGGTGACGGCCTCAGCAGGGAGTGCAATCTGGGCCCCAGCGAGTAGTTCGCTGACAAGAATCTCGACGGGGTTGAACCAGTACCACTGTTTAGGATTAGAGCAGTACGTAACGCCTCTGATTTGTGGTGTTAGCTATCGTATGCCTCATGAGAAGATGGAAAACATACTCATCGTTGTAGCCTTCGCAGAAGTTCCAGAGTCCAACCTGGTAGAAATCATGCAGACCTAAACTCCGAGCGACAGAATTGAGAAGTCTCGAATTATCGACTGAGATTGGTATAACTTGAGAAACATCAAGTTTAAAGAAGTATATGTCGTTCAATGTCGAATTGATATGGGTATTACCGATTATGACGAGAATCAAGAAGGGTATCGACAGAAAGTACAGCGTGCTAGCAGCTATAGCTGTGTTTCGCCTATGCACGTTCGCCATCGTACCTAGGCACTGCGGTATCGGAGTAAGCTACCAAAGGGCTCGTTCGTATGTTGGTGATGCCTTCTAGTTGCTTGCTGGCTGTGCTGCAAAATACTAGTGATGAAACAAATAATGAACAGAACAAGAAAGATGAAAGGAAACGATAGTCACGGAGTGGTATGCGGTTGAATGTCAACGCAATCCACAAAAACAAAAGAAACAAATGGGGTTACGAAAGGCTTCGCACTCCGGAGAACAAAAGAAAGATAGCGACAGGATAATGAAGAAGGTGCAGTAGAGAAATGCGTTGCGAAGTGGGCCAGCCAAATGATCAACGCCAGCTGTAAGGTACTTGGGGGAGCGAGCAAGGAGCGACCGCTTTCACAGTGATAGTGGAGCAATCGTCATGATGAAGGGAAAATCCCAATTCCAAGGATCTTGCCAGAAGACATGGATCCATGCAATCCATGATCGAAGAGGCGCCTAAAGGGTCGTGGGCCCTTCCGAAACCTTGGCCTAAAATGGTTAGGCGACATCCATCGGTGGAGAGTTTTTGTGCTTCTAGTGGAATGCCCCCTGCAATACAGCCCCCTGGGGAGCGACATTGCAGCGGCAAAGGGAAGGCCTAGGGTCTGTGGGTAAGGGGCATCAGAACCTCGGAAAGCTGAGCGATAGATCTCTATTTGTCTACGTATTGAAGCTGGATGAAGAACCTGGACAGCCGCCCGTATTATGATACCATAAGGTAGTTGGTATAGAGCTAAGTATAGTACCTACCTGAGTAACAGGTCGAAAAAAATGGAAAGTCTTTGTATGGGCGCCTAAGAAAAGGTCTTGGATGTACCGACTAAAAAAACACAAGTTGCCATGCCACCATCATAGGTTATTGGTGCTTGGCTTTCGCTTTTGTTCTCTGGTATCCAATCCAATCCATTTCTACTCTAGCCCCAAACTACCGAGCCTCAGGTGAAGAAAAGGAAGTGATGTGCCGCGTTACCGGCTGGGTCTTAGCTGCGGCCCAATATGATGACGCGTTTCAACACCATCCAGCAAAAGTCGTGAACAACAAGCGCTGTGGTTACGATTACTCGCTCGGATTTTCGGGTACGTATTTGACACTCTCTTAGCGCTACGGAAACAGTCAGAAACTCAACATGACTTCTGCGTCTATTTTTGCGGCTCAACATTGGCCAATTGACACTGTCAATTCATGCCATTATTACCGCTAAATAGTTAGACTAACCGTTTATTCATAAACACATGTCATTATGTCACAGCGGGTGAGGCCGCATCATCAAAGAAAGCACTAACAACCTACTAACCTAAGCCAATTCATTCAGTATTTTTTACTCTCATGCCAAGCAGCGACAAAGCAACTATCACACAGTCGTTCTCCTTTTCCCTTGGATTCTTCCTTTTCATCTCTTTTTATTCGTAATCTCGTCTAAGGTTGGGATACTCTTGACTAAAAAGCCAAGCAAGGCAGTGCAGAAAGAAGGTTTCCCATCCGCCGCACGTATCACATCCTTTCACTGGTCTCTACAGTGACTACTCGAGGCCTTCTCTTCCTACGTATCATACCCACTTCATCTCGCCGATCTGTCGTTACTCGCAAAAGTGGCTCTCCTGATACTGGTCTGGTGTTTCTCAAGCAGGGATCATAGACAGGACTGCGCAAGTCGTCGCAGATCGCACTAGGTTCGATCTTGTTCTACCTCATCAAGAGCACGATTCACTTTTGTTTCTTCTTTTTCTTCGGCCTGCTTTATCTGCAAGAACTCCCTTGGTCCTGTACCACTTTAAATCAACGCGGCCCCGGCTGCAATAGGTGGACCTTGAGCTCCAGTTGTAAAGCTTGTTGCGACTAGCGAGCTCCTTCCTATCGCCCTTCCAACTTATCCTGTGCCTCGCCAGAGATATTCTCGCCTGTCACAAATTCTTCAGGATCAGTCTCCCGTCATGAAGCTCTGCAGCTCAATTCTCGTGGCTCTGGCTTTGGCTTCCAGTCATGTAGCGGCTCAGACAGTCGATTTATCAGCTTCTTCAGACCTCACTTTCATTGGAGGCACACGAACACAGAAAATTACACGACAAACCGGTCCTCCCACAGGCGCATATTCCTCCTACGCCTCTAAGATCACACTGCAGGGCTCCAGCGACACCGAATCGGACGAACTCACGAGCACCCTCACAGGCCTTTTCCCCACAGATGCCACAGACAGCACCACCATTACCAGCAACCTGACAGAGACTGGCACAGGAACCGCCACGACAAATGGTACCTCAACTGCCACGACGAAAGCAAAGCCTACAAACACACAGCCCTGTAACAACTATGTCGAGCTTTGCAAGCGCAAGTACGGTAATATCACAATGGTTGGCTGCCATAACTCACCCTTCGTAAGACCGGGTAACTCTGGTTCCAACCAGGAGCTTGAGGTTGAGACACAACTTAATGATGGCATTCGCTTCCTTCAGGCCCAGATCCAATTCCCTAGCAACTCGTCAGTTCCACACTTTTGTCATTCAACCTGCGATCTTCTTGACGCGGGTCCCATCACCGACTGGCTCACCAGAGTACGAAAGTGGGTTGACGACCACCCATATGATGTTGTCACTATTCTTCTTGGAAACGGAAACTACTCCCATCCAGATCTTTACGTACCGTACATCAGAGAGACCGGCATCTTAAAGTATGTCTACCAAGCGCCTTACCTCCCAATGGCCCTTGAAGACTGGCCCACTCTGGAAGACCTGATCATTCGTGGCAAGCGAGTTATCATGTTCATCGACTACGTGTCGGACCAGAAAAAGTACCCCTGGCTTCTCGATGAGTTCACGCAGATGTGGGAGACTCCCTTTGACCCTCTGGATCGCGACTTCCCCTGCACTGTTCAACGACCTCCAGACCTGAGCGAGAAATCTGCGAAGAACCGCCTGTACCTCATGAACCACAACCTCAACGCCGAGTTCAACGTCTTCGGTGCTGAAATTCTGGTCCCCGCTGTTGCACTACTCAACGAGACTAATAACGTGACGGGATATGGCAGCTTGGGTGTTGCGGCCAACAACTGCCGCTCTGACTGGGGTCGGGCTCCCAATATCCTCAACGTGGACTACTATAATTACGGTGGCTTCCCTGGCTCTGTCTTTGAGGTTGCTGCGCAGATGAACAACGTGACATATAACCGTGACAGTTGTTGCGGTACCACCAGCCTAGCACCACATACATACCAAGCTGCGTCTATGACAGCTCTGGTGGCTGCATTAATGTCAGCGTACCTCATGTTCTAGATGTGAGCATGGAATATATGGCCGTATTTGTTACTGGTTCTGTTCGCATAGCGATAGAAGCGCTTTGATTTTTGTTTAGCATAGACTGGAGGTTTTGGCATCAAAGACATCATACGAGCAGGTTCATCACTCACCACAAACCTATACTCCTTGTATTGAGGATGGGGTTCTTGGATATAGAACAAATTTTCGTTTTCTAAATAGAAATTCTTAATTTAGAACAGATCGATTCACCGAGTATCTCGCCCTATTCAACTTGGGAAATGGTCTAAGTGAGCAGGAATGAATATCTACTTCAACTTCGATAGGCATTATCCTTGAAGCATAGCCTGATCTTATCAAAAATAAATTGCTGGCCTTATGCCGATATACGATGTAAATTTATTGTGGCATTTGGACATTACAACCAAATGTGCTCATCATACATGTCAATAGGTAGACAATATGAATCCCGCACCTGTGTAGCTCACTATATTCAACGGAAAAGGTCCTACTCGATTCGATACTCACATGCGAAACCGGTTCAAGGTATAATTCGCGCTACCCGACAGTAGTTCCTAAGCTCTGCACGGGAGAAGAGAACTGTTCATGTAACTATTTTGATACGAAATCGCAGAAGGAGCATATAGGGTATGTATCCCACATGGCATAGGCCTTGATCTCCGCGAATAAGTCCTCAGACTTGTTCAGAGCAACAGAAAATGGGCTTCGAGAATGCACTTATCGTAAAGTGATTAGTCGAGAAATCGATGATCACAAAATCATGTGCCAGAATTCTAAAAGTAACGGCAGAATGATGCTGAGTGAATTGTGTTCTGCTGGTATTCTTTGCTGAGGTTGAGGCTTTTGATGGAAAGTGTCGACGCTAGAGCCCGTTACAGATACCATTGCGCAAAGACTGACCTACCTACATGAGTATGCAATAATTGGTCAGATCGGTTCTATTTATACCATAGCCAGACAAACATCGTCGATAAATCAGGGGTCTGCAGACAGCCCACCATCCAAGACAACTGGTCATGCATGCACTTCTAAGGGCTGGCATCGGCCAGCTCACTACAATGGGAAAGGATACAAAAGCCAAGCCTGGCCTCCAAACGAATGCGAGAGTGGTAGCGTGCCACGAGAAAGACGGGTACCACAACAGCGGGAGAGAGGATTCACAAAAAGGTACATTGTGTAGGGTTGCATTGCAGCATCGACGACAAAACAACTCAGCAGCGCAATACCTGCTGCGTTTGACCGTGAAAAACCTCATGCTCTTTCGCCTCTTCCCGATGCCCTCAGGCTTAAGCACAGACAAGAAGAAGAAGCAGAAGAAGGAGGAGGATAAAAGGGTCCCTCAGCTTTGCTAAGAAGAACAGAAGTAAGTAAGTATCGTGGAGACTTCCGGTAGCTGATGACAAGGCGGTTTAGCTAGACTGAACCTAGTTGCGCCTTTGAGGCTTGAAGCTGAAGTCGAATGACCCCTCGATGTCTTGGACACAGTATCCGTATTTGTGCGATAAAAACAGTAGGATTGCTCAGGAGAGCCAAGGGCGGAGGCCGCCTATATTGAGTGTTGATTGGATATCTAGATGATTACTGTAGGTATCTAGATCAAAGAAAGGAAACTACTAAGGCATGAAGGATTGCTTTCGCCTCCATGGGCTTATACAAGATAGCCGCCGGGCGTCTGGAGCGCTTAGATGAGAGTCAATAAGCAACTGGAGAAATAATACTGCTTAATTATCGTGTTGTGTTACAGCGCATGAGACACAGTTGAAGAGGGTTATCACGGCAGTTGGACACAATATGGGATCTCACATGATCTTTCGTGGGGGAAAGACCCAGAAAACAGGTCCAGCCCCAGCCTTATAGAGGTTAATGATCCGCCCGATCTCAACTAAGCCCCTCAGAGGCTGGACCAGGTAGCCTAAGGCGTCCCTAGTCAGCGTTAGTTTGACCCATCTACAGTAGGTAGGTATGGATTAGGTAGTCAATGGGACGTTCATTACCGTTCATGGCTGAACGGCTGAAGCTGCTCATCAAGGGGCAGGCTTGTCCATTCCATATCATATCTTCCCTTCTCATCCCTTCTGCCTTGTGTAGTTCTCGTTTATCTATCGTTCATTCCCTCTCGATAACCGACAGATTATTAG